TTTTTTCAAATTGTATTTCGTTTTTGAATTATTTCTGGTTTTAATTTTAATTTTAATATTATCTCTAATCGATTTAACTTGCACCTGACCGTCGGGACGTGATTACTATCCATCCAAGCTCTCTCTTCAAGACTCAAAGGCAGCCCACCTCCCTCGCCTAGACGCATTTGATTTTCGCCTCCCTCATCCTCTACCCCCCCAGAGCGTTATATTATTCGACTGCAAGTGACTGTCGAGCCTCTTGATTTCGGATTCTTGATCTGCTAGTATTCTCCACCGGGGATTTCTTGGCTCTACCGGCTGAATCGTGCAGCTGCTCGTATTTCCACGTGCGGAACCTCCTTCTCGACATTCCCTAAGTTATTTTTATACCGGGAGATCTTCTATAAACATCTATAAACCTACTGCTCGCTGTGATCTTCACTCTCCGAAAAGAGTTGCTCAACGGTTGTACCTCCTCCCCACTGTTTGGCTTCCGACCCTTCCATCTTCATCACCCCACCGTCGCCTCTGATCGTCTCACTCTTCGGTCGTGGAAGGCCTTCTCTTTCACTCCTTTTCTTTCAATCAATCAATCAAAATGGCCGGCCCTGGTGGTGGTCCTCCTCGCAAGAGCCATACCAAGTCCCGAAATGGGTGCAAGACATGCAAGAAGCGCCATATTCGTTGCGACGAGACCTTCCCACAATGGTACGCCTTATTCCCTCATCTAAACTCAAGAGTCGCATCTTGGTCGCACATTTCTAATCTCGAATCCTGCAGTCGCAATTGTACCAAGCATAACTGCCGCTGTGACTATCAAGATGTTGCAGTTACCCAAACTCCCCCGAACTCACGGCGAGGGCCTGATCTACTTATGTCTCCAGCTATCGAGATGGAGATCGACAACTGGCATCGCTCCGGCATCCCTCCCTATCCCGAACTGATGCAGTGTCCTCGATCTGGCTGGACGGGACTATCGCGCGCAGACTTGCGTCTGATCCACCATATTATCGGCCTCTCGATCGATCTTCATCGGCGTGGACTGAGTGCCTGCACCGTGTGGGCGCATAAGATGCCCAAGTAAGCCTTGAACCAAAGACATAAGCCTCAATCATGAAAGCTAACAGGAAATCTCCAGCTTCCTCGCGATCGCGCTCTCAAAGGATTTTGTCATGAGCGCCATCCTCGGCCTCTCGGCCTTCCACCTTGGCTGCCTCACACGGGATCAGGAAACCAAGCAACTAGCCCATCACCATAAAATCACTGCTCTACGTGGGCTTCAAAATGCACTCGGTTCCTTCTCAAAGGAGAACTGCGATGCAACCCTCGCTGCGTCTATTCTTCTCTCATGGCAAACAACTGATCGGTGAGTACTCCTAAGAGGTTCCTATCCCTGTATCTAGCTAATTCCCATCTAGTCCAGAATGGATATCCCTGCAGCATAGTATCTCAAGTGTTCTCGACTCAATGTATCCATTTTGGAGACAAGAATCCGAGCTCGCACAATTAGTTGAAAACCAGCGTTCTCTCCACGCTTCAGATTACTCACTGGTCCCGGAGGAGGACTTAACCCAGCTTGACCAGACCATTCAGGCGCTACAGATTGCCCAGAGTCGTGTCTCCCACAATGCGGAATACTCCTCCCGCATGTTGGAGTTGATTGAATTTGTGAAACAGTTCCGCAAAGACTACCCTTCCCAAACTGCAGAGCAGTCATTTGAGCGCATCCAGGTCCTCCGACAATGGCTTTTTTGGAATCCTTCTTCTATGCTGAGAGGCGGCGATTCTGAGGCCAGTGCCCTTGCAGTCCTAGCTCAGTTCTTCGCAGTCGGTGTCGTTCTCGATCGCTTCTACCCTGAGATGGGTGCATCGTATCTCGCCGCATCATCTGTCGGACCTATAGAAGAGATCTACCGTATCCTCGCCACGTACAATACAACTGGTACATTCAACACCGAGTTGCCCCTGGCAATGTCGTTGATGGATTTTCCTCGCCATGTTGTTGCCCACCACCACAGTCTCCTGGCTTGGTCACCACGCTCGTCAATCGAGCACTACTCTCCCGGCCCGCCGAGTCCATATCACGGTCTGACCGACTACTCCATCACCTCTCCTGAATCCGCTTCCCCATCATATATGGCGTATACCCCACCTCTCCAGTCTCCTCCCGCGGTCACCGTTGCCGGCTCCCCCTTCCAACTCGCAGACGGCTATGTTACCGCTGCCTCCTCGCATACCCTATATCCGCCGTCTCCACAACTGCTTGATAACCATGACGCACAGTTTGGTCTCTCTGAACTGGGTCATGTGGTTTCATCTTCATCAGCATATACCCCTCCTTATGGAAACCCTGTTCTCTGCGGAGACCTGCCTCGCGCGGATGCCTCGCTTGGTCTCAATATGGATGCATATCAGCAACCACACCATTTTGAAATGACAGGTCTTGTTACACCCGAGCCCTGTTGGACATGATTTTATGAAAGCAAGAAACTGCCTGAAACACTTGATGTGTAAAAATAAGGAACTAAGGAGTTCGATTTCTCGGGTCTGGATTCAGGAACCATCCTCTTCCCTCTTTACATTCTACTCAACTCTGTTCTATACTGGTTGGTCTGTCTTCGTTTTTCTGCATTTTATTTTTGGCTTTCTCTCTTTGGTCTGAGCATGAGCGTTGGTGGCAATTGTGTCCCCGCCAAAGGAAATGATTTCTACTTAAGTGATATACCCGGTTTAATTACAAACCTATTATTGGCATGATTGGAAGCATCTGTATCTTAGTTCTAAATTCTATTCAAAGCTTTTTCTATCTATTGGGATGAGGAATAGATCTCATTGTTTGAATCAAAATCGCACACACAAGTTCAAACCCCCCTCACATAAACAACATTATCTCGAAACATCAAGAGCATCCCACGCACGTAGCAGATTTTCTCTTTTCTAAACATAGAATCAAGTTACATCACCCCCCTCATCTCTAAAGCTGCATACCAAGCCAGCCTAACGCGAAGCATTCAAGATCGCCAGGAACCAGTACCAAACTCGTGATTGTGAATATACTAAGAATAGCGCAGGACGAGAATTAAACTACGATCCACATTTCTCATTGGCGCCTTCAGCCCCGAGCCTTACTTGAACCCCATCACGCTAATTTCCGCTCCGGGGCAGAGTCAGATGAAAAACCTCGTATTCGGCTGCATCCACGTTCCCCGCTTGGATCGTGCATCTCGCGTGGCAAGTTAGGGGGCAGTTGGGGCCGCTGCTGTATTTAGAAAATGAGAGATACGAAGCCTAAATCCAATCAATGCTGTCATCCTTTTGGATTGTGCATATATGCATTCCTCCCTCGTATGTACTACTTTAATCCGTTGATACATTTGATTGGGTCGTCGGTTTCACCGAGCCAAGCCTACTACGTAGTAGAAAGGGGGTTGATCGGCAAGATAGAGATACTAATTGTCGCTAGGTGCATGCCTTCTATATTTATCCCTTCCAAGTTTCGCTTCCTTCTTGGGTTGTGCAGAATCCCGTGCGTTCGGGTTGGGTTTGGTCAGAGGAGAGTGTGCTGAAACGGTTGGTGTTCGCTTGGTTCATGCTTTGCGAACGTCTACGATGGCACTCGGTTCTTGAGTTTATGATGTGATGTTGATCTTGGAGGGATTGGGCATACGGAGATGAAGGACCCAGAATGATTTGAACTTTATTTTACCTTTGGTCATGCCTCTCGTCATAACAGTCACAAGCATGAATTTACATTTTGGTATTCGTACTGAGAAGCTCCGCGCTAGGGTTATCACATAATGGTTGGTGGTGATCAGAAAAAGTCCCATGTACTGGTGGAAGATTTTTGAAAATGCAATAATCTTCAATATAATGACTATGACCGACATGTTTTGGGCGATTTTAACGCAGTCAGACGCGAACCACCAGCTGGAGTTGGGGCTGACTGTTAGCAGACCAAGGTTTCGAGCTCGGTCTCAATATTGGAGAGTCTGATTAATAAATACTATTGAACCAAAAAAGACTGGCAAGACTACCAAAGGAGAGATTGAAAACGAAAACAGAAACCACTATATTACTAGTACATTCGAGATATTCCTTGTAGGCCTCCCAAAGGGTTCCAAGGTTCTTTGATATAAACTTAAAGAATCCTTTCTCTGATTGAAGGGTTTTCTAGGCCTCTTACTTGTGCAATGAGAGGCTTGCTTTTAGTCATGATTTGATTTTGAACCCCATAGTATAGACCACCCGTTTTAAGTTGCAACTTACACTTTCCGAATGATTTTTGTCCAGTGTACTCCAGGAAAACTCGCTAATACTTTCTCAGGATCAGTCTCGAATCTTACTTGCCATCTATCGAAGACAAGCCATATGCACATACTATGGTAGTTTATTACAGATTGAACAAAGGGGTCGAATGGAGCCACAAATACAAGCAACTACTCGGCGCAAACGGTAGGTTCAACTCCGCTATGAGCTTGCTTGCAACTTTGACTCCCACTAACGGATAAAGAAGGGGACAGAAACAGAGACATCGACTAGTACAAGCTCCCATACCAACACAATGCACAGGAAAACCTTGTGAATATGAGGAACACTTGCCTCCTGTTTCCTATGGCGGTACTGTTCTCGTCGATGGAGAGTTCACCACATGCTCGAAGCGTGGAGTGACGACGACGGTCTTGGAGATGGTGAGCCGGATGCTCCCTCCTGCTCGGCTGGGAGCTGGTCTCAGAAATCATCCGCTGCTGCCACTCATGGGGAACTTACGGGCTATATGATGAGGCCTGGAAGAGAAACCTCAGCAAGCAAAGTTGGTGGGCTGCGACAAGTTGCAACATACTAATATCCTTACGTGATCGACACACGTGATCTATGACATAACACGAATTTGAAGTCCCGCGGTGTCAACAAGCGTCGCCGAGCTTGGAGCTTCACCAACCCCCGCGAAACCTTCATTCCGTCACCAAATTCCCAAAGCAAACTTTTAAACACCATCCAAGGAACTTAAATTGGTCAAAATGGGTGACGTAGGCGGCTGGAGTACTATCGAGTCTGACGAGGTACGGAAGGCCCTGGAGTTGTCTCTGCAACAACTAACAATGACTAGGGTGTATTCACATCCCTCATCGAGACTCTAGGCGTGCAAAATGTCCAATTCGAAGAGCTCATCTCACTCGACGCAGACACAATACGCTCCCTTGGGTATGCATGCAGACCCTTCCTTACCCTGTCGTTGAGCTTGCAAGCTCAAGCTCAAGCTCAACCAGACGACGAAAACCAAACTAACAGACCTTCCCCAGTTCCGTCTACGGAGTGATCTTCCTATTCAAATGGACCCGCGAAGCAGCCGGGGCTCGCGCGGAGGCCCCAATCGACGGCACATATGACGAGACCGCAGCAGAGAACAACGTCTTCTTCGCCGCGCAAACAATCCAAAACGCCTGCGGCACACAAGCTATCCTCTCCGTCATCCTGAACCACGATAACCCGCCTAAACCTCTCCCCGCCATCCCGCTCGGCACTGAGCTTGCCTCCTTCAAAGACTTCACAACTGGCTTCCCGCCCGAACTCCGCGGCGAGGCCCTATCCAACTCGGAGGCTATTCGCACCGCACACAACACTTTCGCAAAGTCTCAGTCCGTTTGCCGATGAGACGACTAGACCGCAGGATGAGGAGGGTGGGGATGTTTTCCATTTCATTGCCTACACGCCTGTTAATGGGACGTTGTATGAGTTGGATGGATTGCAGCCTCACCCCATTAGCCATGGACCGTGTGATACGGCCTCGTTCCTGAGACGGTGATCGAAGTGCTTCGCAAGCGTATTGCTAGATACCCGCCCGAGGAGACACATTTCAATCTTATGGCTGTTGTGCAGGATCCTCGGCCGCGGGCGCGGGAGATCGGAGACGCCGAGACGCTAGAGCGGGAGGAGAGGAAGAGGGCTGCGTGGCAGTGGGAGAATACTCTACGGAGGTGGAACTTTGTTGGGTTTATTGGGGAGATGATGAAGGGGGTTGCTGGGGCTAAGGAGCGAGATGGGAAGTATGATGAGTGGGTTGATGCTGCCAAGGCTGAGACGAGAAAGAAGATCGAGAGCAGGAGAGGTGCTTGAGGATATTGTTCCACACCTGAAGAGGTGCCTTGATTTTGAATACTATTGAGGTGCCCTCTACTGTGAAATTTCTTTCGGACTGATTCAAATGCCGTGGCATGTGCTGTGCATCCAATTATGTCTATAATGATTACAGATACCCGTGATGAGCAAGTTGAACTTGAACGATTCGAGATATTATGATCATTGATCTATGTATGCATTATATACAGACATCAACTTCGTAATTCATGATCATTTAAGAACCTTGGATCTTCAAGCTCAATAATCCACCGCTCGAGCTCTAATGTGCTCCACCATCGCTGGTGGAAGGTCATCTGCCTTCACCAGATTCAACGCTAGCAAGTCAGACCAGAAGAACAAGGCTCTGTCCTGGGAATAGGCTAGATAGTCGAATTCTTCTTCCTCCTCCTCTGCAGCTTCTGTCTCGGCAGTGGGAGTCTTTACGTCCTCTTCCTGCTCTTCCTCCATGCCAGGTGTCTTGGCCTGCACGATACCCCAAGCCACCCACTGTGCCGAGTTGATCACGCGCCACAACCGAGTCTGGTGCATGAGGAACTTGATCTCGGCGTCGATCGCCTCTTCGTTAGACCGTTCGGCCTGGAGCTGCTGCCCGCTAGGCTCGGGGCAGTCATCAAGGTTCAAGGGAGTGATAGTAGTCGCATTACGACCGCGCATGGTTGGAGTTGCTTGTGGTGAAGTAGCTCCATTGCCGATATTTGGGCGATGGGCCAGATAGGTCGACACAAATCGATACTGGTCCTCTGGCTTAGGGGTAGAAGCGGGTGTTACAGGCCCATGGCCGGCCTTCATCGTGGTAGTTGTAGCACCACTCAGTCTACATAGGTTAGAATAGCGCTTCAAGACCAAGGGCAAGATGGAGGTGGGACTCACAAAGTGGTTGGCAAACTCAAACCCGGGGGTGTTAGCCGAAGAATATTCAAAATCAATGACAACGAGCTGCTTGTGTTCGTTGGCGGGGAGCAGAAGAGGTGACTGTGTGGCCGGCTCCATTCGAAGCAAATTGCCATATTGAGTCTAGACACCATTAATTAGCATGCATTGCGTATGGCGCATGGGCCATGGGCCATGAAAGAGTAAAACACTTACGTCGTTATGAGCGAATACCAGCTGCCGCTTAATCTCACTCAGCCCACCACAGCTAGCTAGCAACCAGATTCGGTAGTTGTCCACGGCCTTGCGGAACACTGCCCATGGCACACCACAGACGTAGCCGCGCAGGCGCCACGGTTCCAGGGTAGCCTTCGTCTGGTTTTGCGGGGAATCTAGTTCTTTATCCAGCCAAGTTGTGACCTTTTCACACCGATCCACCCACTTGTCCCAGTTCTTGAAGACCATCGGCCCTCCCTCGCGCTCCTCCTCGAGAAGTTCAATACCATCGTGCAATTCGCGCATTCGTTTGGCAATTTGTTTGGCCGTATCTGGGATGCGCAACTCTTTCGCTGTCAAGGGACGAGCTTCGAAGTATTCTTCAAATCGTCCGTTGCGGAAGGTTCCAAGTACACGGGGGCCGATGTTCTTTCGGCCAAGGCGACGTAGGATTTGCAGCTCCTTCTCTCGATCAATCAAGTGATCGACCTGGGGACCATAGATGCGAAGCAAAAGTTTCCTGTAGTGGATTAGTGGAGAACCCTCCATAACGCTTGGCATGTCATGACTTACGGTGGGGGTTTTCTTGGGACTATGGAAGAGCTGCTGCTGGACGTTAGAGGAGGCTGATTCTTGGGTGGTCCAACCACGTAGATAGCGTTCGTCATAGCTCCACTGAGGCGAACGACTTCGATATCCCCAGCATTCTCCATTGAGACTTTGCGCCAACCCCGCAGTTGTAGCGTATGCGCCAGACGCACGATTTCAGTCTTGAAGGTGACCCAGGCCTCACGACCTTTGGCGCCCTTCAAGGAAGAGTTGCTATCGGCGAGGTCCTCCTCTCCTGCGCCACCACTGTAGGCAAGGGTCTTGGAGTTATCGAGTGAGGCATCTACGCCTGGCACAGGAGCCTCAAGGTCGGTATACTCGGATTCAGAGGCAGAACCTCGGCGAAGACCCTTCGGGCGGCGACGAGGGACCCGCTTCGCAGTTTGTCGAGAGATAGCGCCATGTCCCACATTCGCATACTGGTGAAGAATACTCTCCAGTCTGTCCAGTGAAAATGTACTCTCTGAGCTGCGATGTTGCTCTCCCGAGGACCGTTCCGCAGTCTCAGAAGCACCGTCTGAGGGATTGGAAACTCCCTCACCTCGTCGCGCCTTGCGTGTGCTTCGCCTGACCTTCTCGTGCTGCAGCCATTCTGAAACCTGGTGGAATAAACTGCCTTGTAGATCTTCGTCTGTCTTGATAGCTTGTTCGGTATCTTCCTGCGCCGGGTCAAGCTTGCCGCTCGACTGGCTACTCAAGGCTGAGGGCATCGAAGTAGGGTGAATTGGAGGGCGTGCAGTAGTTTTGGGTAGAGGGACTCGATGCTGTTTTAAAGTGGATGCGTCGGGAGGAGAAGCAGGGCCTGTCCCGCTCGAGAAGGACTTTCGAAAGGAAGGGATATTCAAGCCTGTGCCTGAAATAGGCGGCGAGTCTACTGGGGGTTAGTCACAAGGTCTAAGGTTTTTCTTTGTCTCTGCTTCTTCTTTTTTTCACGTAGAAAGAATGCGTTTGGATAATGTGGGCGTCACAGCTCATAACCCCGGAGCGACGGGGGACAGGAGAGTGGAGGTGGATGCAAAGGGACGATTCATACAAAGGCGGGGGAAAATGCAAGTCGCACGGGCATTTGAAAAACGCATTTGGGAGGGAAAGTGTCGACCAGTCGCAGAGGGAGGAGAAGAAGAAGAAGAAGAACGAGAGGCCTACCTGCTGCTGCTGCTGCTACTTCGGGTTCGGAGCCAGCGCGATCCTCGGTGAAGGATGGCATGTGCGTTTAGCGGGGCCCAAATCAAATCAAGTGGGGATAAAACGAGTACGGTCGATTCAAGTGAAGTCCTGAGGTCTTTTCTACCGAGCCCAGCCTCACAAATATCACAGTGGAATAGTAATCGTGGAGGCGGCGGGGGTAGCAAGTATTTTTGAAGCGCCGGAAAAAAAGTCGCGGGGCAAAGCGAACCAAACACGGAAGCGTCCCAGTCCCAGCGGTCAGGGAACCTTCCAACGGAATCCTTTGGTCTGCACTCAAACTTTAAGCCGAGTAGGAAAGTGATCACACACAAGATAGTAAATCAGTTATCTAGTGCGATAGCTGTGGAAGGAGACCTGTTCATATTAATACCACAAGAAAAGTGGCGAAACCGCGCTTATCGTGTGGCTCAAACGTGACCCCGTGACGTTGGCGGGTTGGCGGGTTGGTGGATCTGACCATCCAGGGGCAATTTGCATGGGGCATTTGCATTTGCATTTGCATTTGGGCATGTCAATCACTTTGCCCAAGGTCCCTGCACTATAATTGCGGTCTACTATCGTGAGTAGCCCGATCCAATGGGCCCACTAGCTCAGGGCGATGTGGTATCACCCGAGATAAGAGCGTGGGCTGTATTCCCAACCTTAGGGTTCCAAAGCCATCCATGACCATCCACTTGTCCTGTCTCATGTGGGTGCCCCCCCTAAATCGTGGAGTCCGCGGGGGGTGGATGTCACTGAGCGAACGCGATACTATCGATACAGAGGCGCAGATGGCTTTGTTTCTTCATGGTCGCATGTGGGAGAGGACAAAGGATTGGTTCTTTGGGGACGCCATAGGAAGCTTCTTCATAGCCACTAGTATTCCGCAAGTCTATTGGAGAGATGGTCGACCACTGGCAGCTCGTAGTGGTCTGTGGTTTGGGAGTGTAGTGGGAGCGAGGTGACCCGGCCGGAGTTGGAGATTGTGGAGCCGATCCCCCAAACATTGGACGTGAGTATCATATCAACCGAGGTCGACTAGTACCCGGGTAGCAACTCGAATAGCCCACGGTATTCGATGGATGGATCGCAATGCTGAAGACGAGAGAGGTTGTAGTTGGAGCAAATGCACGCGACTGCACTTCTGGTGTAATGAGGGGTGCTAAAATTACAATACACGTATCCTGGGTGACCAACGCCGCCTGATGATTCCAGTATTTTACCATTTGGTATTGATGGGCATTTGAAGGGAAAAAGTAATTATTTACGTATACACAGCCAGAAATAAATAGAAATATAATCAAAATTTCATAAAGCTTCGTCATTTTCGTGATTCTTCGAGTTCATGTTGGAGAATGGAAGTCTGGAAAAGGGATTGACTTCTGCTTCAACTGCATCCGACCCTCTCCGTCAAAATATCGCAATGAGTAGTGCAACCAGTTCAAAGGTTTCCCTTTCTCATCCAGTTCCGACGAGACGCCAAAACTGCATGTACGATTGGTGGCTGCCGGTATGCACCCTGGTTGGGCAAGCAGCTGCTTCACCTCAGCAGCACTACGAGGTGTCGTTGCTGGGTTTTCCTCCAAAGTGACAATCACAGCCACGGCATCCGCGGCCGGGCCACACATGAACAGGCCCTGTGCCGGTGGGGCTTGCGAGAGGAAATGAAGTGCCCGCCGACGAAGTTGTGGAAATGGACATTTAAGGGCTGTTATGAAAAGAGGAAGAAACACACCCATCTCGAACATGAAAGGGGGCTGTTTATCATCGGCGAGACGAGTCGACGCAATCGCAATTGGTGCAAGATCAAGGATCTGAGTGAACTCGGTTTCGTAGGCGTCGTATGCTGTCTGATCTGGATCAAGACAAGTTTTTATCTCGATCAAAACGCTCGTATAGGTCATAAGAAGGAGTGCGATGGCACCGTCGTTGCTCACGCCACTACCAGGAAGATTTGATATTTGCATGCACTCCAAAGCGTGAAAAAGACGGTACCAATGCTGAAGGCGCTCTTCCAAGTGGTTCTGTCGAGCCACAAGCTCCGGCGACAGACTTCGGCGGGCGTCATGCGTTTGTTTCCAATAGGTCTTTGCATCGACATCAAGGGTTTTCATCTCTGCGACGATCCCACACAACACATTCCTCGCATCGTCAATGGATGCAAATCCAGCGTACGAATGTATTGGATTAAGATCCCAACAATCGTCTGGCCCTCCTTCGACGATGAGAGCCCACGTTCCCAACCGGCGGAATATGGGTAGAAGAAGAGATATCATAGGGGTCGATGTTGCGCCGAGCATCATCTGCACTCTCCTGTTTATAAAGATTGACAGCTGCTTCCCTGTTTCCTTGTAGAAGCTCAATTGCGATAAAAAGAATGCAGCTAATCAATGAGACATTCAAATCCGCAGAGCCTTGGTTGATGCGCTGTTGGAGAGCAGCAAGTGAGCGTGAGTACCAAACAAGAGCCTCGCGATGGTGGCGTTGTCGCACCACAGCTGGATCATTGATCATTTCCATTGCTGGCGACTCATGAATAGGAGGCCGCTCATAGAGGGTGCTTAGCGAGATCACTGCATCCCAGACCGCAGGTTCCAGGCGGCAGATCTGCAGGACAGAGCCTCTCCAGAAAGAGACATCGAGAACGCCCGAAAGCGACGGGCCAGCTCGATGGAAGTAGTACTCGAAAGCGCGTCTCTCTCGCGATCCTGAATGCGACGAAAATGCAAACTGCAATGGGATTGAAGGTTGTGTGGTTCTCGATTTAGAGGCAGTGCTGTAATGACACTGTCGACCTGTGCTTATGCACCTCGCACAATGCGGTTTTTCTTCCCCGCAGCGAACACGCCGGATTCTGCGAAGGGTGTTTTAGTAAATTTTCGTAGATAAGGCATTATTTTGTATCGAGACTCACTTGCAGGTGTTGCAGCCGGTCTTAGACTTCGTGCTGCCAATACGGCCAGACCGCTTCGTTGGAGGATTCATGGCGGAGACCAAGACCCGACGAGTCAGACCATCGAGTCCCAAAGCTGTGTCTATTCCTGCATATTCTGGAGAACCAAGGCCAGGGATCGCACCGAAATTCAGAAGCAGCCGTCAGTGTGGTAGAGTGGCATAACGCGCCAGACTTGGATGTCTTTTCAGCTATCGTAAAGGGGGGTTTTGTTTCGTTCGATATCAGGTTACGTCAGCTGTAACCCGAAGCCGCGACCTCGTTCGAGCCTGAATAGTTACGAAAACACCTCTCACGTTCGGAAACTTTTCTTTTTTTATTCAACCTTCGCCTCCTTTTCATTTGTTGTTGTTTTTTTTTTTTCATGCTTCGTGCCTTGGCTGAATAAATGTCAGCTACCATGGTAAATTTACATGTATCTCTACTCGTAATTTGCTTATTTTTGATTATTTGATAATTATTTTACATTTGAGATTTAAGGGCCGTATAAAGAGATTAACTGCGACCGCTTATCGGTGTAACGGTGGAGTAATCTACGGTGCGAATAGAACCGAGGAGATCAGATGGTAATTAGAAACACAAAGTCGAGTGGGTTTTTGTATTTGCTCAAGGAACGTTGGTCATATCGTAATAATTAAAGGAGAGGATCGCTATGAAGATGCAGAAGGAAGGATATAAGATCCCAAAGAAGACCGAATTGTGAGTTTGTCTGGCCAGATCCGGATTCTAGATCAACTTGCAATCAGGCCTTGTGAATGGTGAAAGGTCCCTCGGCATTGAACAGGGTGGGCATCTATCAAAATATAGTCAATATATGTCTCTCCCGCAACAAGTAAGTAAGAAAGGAGCAGAGCGTACCTGGGGAGCAGTGTCAAGACCGGTACTGAGTCTCAGGTACCACACGTCCTGGTTTTTCACATTTGGCAGCTTTGCGGGGATCTTGACATCGAAGGCATTGGCATTAGCCGGGATGTTGTCTGCAATTTTGATTTGCTGATCAAAGTTGATGGTATCAAGATTGCGGACGGGGTTGTTGTACAGCCAAATGCTGTACTTGCTAGTCGGGTACTTGGTCAACGGGTCGCTGCAGTGTGTAGTTGGCTGGCGGTTGAAGCGGATGTGGACGGTCTGGCCCTCGGTCACGGTGGCGTGGTCGGGAATGCCTTGGAATACGTTCAAACAAGAATAATCACGTTTGCCCCATGCTATGTCGAGTTAGTCCCGAGTGGTTTGTCGGAATGTGGGCTGATGGCTGGTTTGGGACTTACGCTGGTTCTTGTCGAACGCAGCTGTTGCGGTAGCAGCGAGGACAGAGGTGATGATGGCAGCGGAGAACTTCATCTTGGGTGATTGATGGCAGAAGGAAGTGGTAACTGGAAGAGAGAAGAACGGTAGTATGAGCAATTGAGCTAAATACGAGGGGTCTCAGGGGGTATTTATACCTTATAAATCCAAATATAGCGTCGGGTCGGCACCCTCTTTCTTCAGCAAACCTGACTGACAATGTTTCACTTTGCTAGCTCCACAATTGCCACGATTTGAGATGATCGTGGCTTGGCGCCACTGGGGGATCAGCAGGGTCAACAGGGTCCGTCGTGCCGAGCAGGTCGCATGAGCTGACTTCAGCTGCGTGAAGGGATTTCGGGGCGCTGGAAATCGTATTGAGAGACACCAAGAGATACTAGTAAGCATCTCGTGATCTATGAGCTTGAATATACGATATGTACTTGGTTTCCATTGGCTTTGTTGGGAAATATTCTCCACATGGCCGATGCATCCACCCACAGACAGTGAATCGAAATGATCGTGCAGTTTAGAGCACATTTACCAGTCACAAACTAATCGATATTTTCCAGCGAATCCTACTAGTAAATAAACCTGCATGCAAGGCTTTATTCTGCATAGACATGATATTAGGCCACTTAGTTTCCTCACACTCAGCCATGGCGAGCAAGGCCAAGGGTAGAAATTTGGAACCCGAAAGGAAAATTGAAAAGGTATTTCTCAATATTGTTCGGAATGCGGAGTAGTATGATCTAGGTACTGGAAAAAAACTTGAAAGCTTTTAATTTCTCATAATGAAAGTGAGGTCACAGCTTGGCGCTTGACTTGACACCTGCAATGCACTCGATTTCTACATCGGTTCCCAGTGGCAGCTCCTTCACACAGACGCAAGTACGTGCCTGTTTGAGTTAGCTAATTTTGAAGTTTCCCAAGTAGTATTGCAAGTACTACTTGATAATAGGTAGAGTGAGAGGACTCACGGGCATAGGCTGTGAAAATGTAGCGGCATATACTTCATTGACAGCACCAAAGTCACTCATGCTAGTCAAGTAGATGTTGCACTTGACAACATTGTCCAAGCTCGTTCCGGCTGTCTCCAGCACCGAGCGCAGGTTGGAAAGAATTTGACGCTATAGAATAATTAACATGGTGTTCAATTCAAAACCTTTCGAGATTGGAAACATAAAGCGCACAGTTCGGTCCTGGATAGAGCCTTCAACCATAGCTCCAGTATCAGGTCGGCAGCCAACCTGGCCGGAGCAAAAGAGAAAATCGCCCATCTGAATGGCCTGCGAGAGGAAAGGAGGAGGTGCCGGAGCGCCGGTAGACTTGATGGCAGTTTTGGGGATGGACATTGTGGGTGGAATGGCCGGCTGATTTCAATTAGCTGTCAAAGAGATGTAAGATAAAGATTAGGAAGTTTCAGTTGGAAGACAGAGGGCGTAGGGAGAAAAATAACGGAGGGGAGACAGTTTAAGTTGCATTATTAATGCGGAGTGGATGTTTTCGAAGGGCGTACGAGTAAGGCGTGGCCCCGCACCAACCCCGCCGTTGGAGTAGGTGTGACTGGACACTCATTACTGTACACTCCGCGAACGGAGGCTTGTGGATTCTGTACTCGTAGTAACTAGTACTACTACTCGTACACGGAATATTCTAGTTGAAAGGAACTTCTATATGTAAAAGTACATTACTTGCCATTGTCCATGGTGAAGCCACTCTTCGCCAGTACGAGTTGAGCAAGAGAAGAGTTTGCCTCGCAGTCAAGACCCATGGCCCTGGCACGTCGAACGATCCAACCATTGATGTATTGGATCTCGGTACTCCGGCCCTTGAGAATATCTTCTCGCATACTGCTAGAGTTCTGAGCAGTTTTTTCAATCGTATCACGCAGAACAGATTCTAAAGACTCCGTCGAGAATTGATGTCGATCAAGGGACAGTTCCTGCATCTCGGGAAGACTTTGAAATACAGACGAGACCTCTGTCAGAATTTGACGTTGCAAGGGCTGAATATCGGCATTGTCTTTGATGCGCCCGTTGCGCACGTCAAGGAGTGCCGTGAGAGGATTCAGCACACAATTAGATGCTAGCTTCAAAAGTTGGACTCGGAATAAATCCGGCCATTCCATTTTCTCACAATGAAGAGCAGTCGGCTGGAGTAGAGTATCTAGGAGATGCTGGGCTTGTAATTGCTGTGCTGTCTGTTTGTGGCTGTCGACAACTCCGAGTGATGCATTTCCACTGGTACCCGACAAGATGGCTTCCACCGAAGACCGCAGATAGACACCATGGCGCATGATTCCAAGCATGTAGGTAGGTCTACTAGAAGGGTCAATAAAGACACGCTGGTTGAGATCCTCGATTTGACCCATGCCATTTTGGAACAGGCAGATGGTTGATTGGGGTCCAATGCGATGCCGAAGGGGTTCCAAGGCGGCGACTGTCGCCGAGGCTTTGACGGCAACAATTAAATTATGAATTGGGTCAGAAGAGGCTGAGCTGCCCAGGAGCTCGGCATTAAATCCACCTCGCTCGTCCAAGGGGCCATCTTCACCAACACGGAGGCCGAGCTTCCATCCATTAGATGCGAAGTCATCGTATAGGCTCTTTCGATGGGCAAGCAGCGTCACCGAAGGCGGGGTTGGTAGAGATCGGAGAGAATGGGCGATAAAAGATCCAATACTGCCCAGCCCTAGAATGTGAATTGAGTGGGAAGGGGATGGCATCACGAAGAACACCGAATACTTGCGAGGGGAACGTGCTGGTGGTTCGGTTTGGAGCGGGTTAAACTGGCGGGCCTCGGTGGGGCTGCGGGCGCCAATGCGAAGTGGGCGACATTACTCGTACATACGAGTAGTCATCCCATGAATTTTCTTATTGGGAACACTTATCCCAGAGGAACTACTTGCAGTAAGGAAATCAAAAGTTCTTATGAATGAAAATGCGAAAGAAGCTGACTTTCTCTACAGCCACTGGCACTACTAGTAGTAACAAATCGCAACGACCCAACTTCCCCACTACTCGTATCCCCCCAGCTAAAACCATACTTAATATAACTTGAAGAACCACGAAAATTGAGGCTCAAGAAAAATCCTAAGAGTGAATTATATGGACCGACTCCAAGCCGTAAATGGGATATGAAATCTCGAATCAATTAGTTGACGGCATGCTCCTATGCGGGGTCCAAGCTGGCTCCGCCACTCAGGACAGTCCTCGCCCGCAGATCGAAGGAATTTCCAAGACGCTAAATCAATTTTGACAGAAACGAGCTGGACTTTTGCCTGTGTCACACTGCCCGTTTGCTTTTGAAAACTCATGAGCCGCGCTCACAGCTCGCTCAGAGCCTCCCAGGTCCACCTTCTGCTGCCATGGAGATCAATTTAGACTTGCGAGACGTTCTCAGACCCACGGTGTCTCAGGATGCTCCATCCAGATCATTATCATATAGCGGGTAAGACATTCGCAAACCCCTCCGAATTCAACTCGTTTGACAACAAGAAGATGTTGGACATGCCGTGAACGCCGGACGAAATGTGATGAACGGCCCGCCGCCTGCAGGAGGTGCGAGGATGCGAAACTTGTCTGCGCTGGATACGACATCAGATTGAATTGGGCTGAGGGGGTGGATCGAAAACGGTCGAGACCGGGTGGCACTCGAAGGCGCATCAAGCCAGGTCGGTCCGATAACCCAATTGTGGGAAGTGTACGAAAATTGCTAAATTGTTTGCACGACAGGAATAAACTTATGCCAGACCATGACCGACAAAGAAGTTACGCGGGCCCTTGCATTAATCGATAAGCCCACTACAGATCAACCGAGGACCACTGGCCCATTTTCGGTCTTTCGTGTTCAGTCTGAGCACACTCAGTCTGATTTACAGCCGGGCTCTTGGTTTCTCGGGGAAGCAGGAAAGCCACCAACTCAACGCGACAATGACTTTAGTCAGAGTAAATATCTCGAACCCGAAGCAGAACAGCATTCTACATTTGAGATTGATGATCCTCGGTGGATAAGCCTGTCATTGACCAGAGGTCTGGACATGCTCTCTGACGAAGACTCTTCTATAGCTTTGAACGAGAGAAATGTTCATGAGATAGAAGATGAATCAGACAACTCCAACGAAAGCTCAATAACGCCAACACTTGCAGGGTTACTGGACAGGACTGTTTCCCATACTAGTGGTGATTATCCCGCTAATTGGAAGATCGTGGGCTCTACAGGCTTGACTCATCCAAGAGATCATGTGGACAAAGAGGTTGAGTCTTTGATACCTCTCGGGCACGATGGACTTGCATTGCAAATACCAAGCACCATGAAATTGGGTGCGCCATCAAACACTCTTTCCTACAGTCTCGGTTATCCCCAAATCAAGGATCCTTCGGTGAATATGCTCATCCATCACTATACAAACAACATCGTCCATTTGATGCAGCCTGTCTCCCACAGGGGAAATCCTTTCCAAACATTATATCTCCCCTTGCAATTGAAGGATCGAGTTTCACTGAAATCGACCAAGAATCACATGGGATATCTCCAGCAACGGTTGCTGTGTTTCATAGTCTGCTTTGCTCCGCAGCTACCAACCTACAAGGCCTAGGGTCTAGAGATAGTGGACTTCAGCAGCTTGCATGCCGCCACAAAGAGCGGGCTCTAAATGCACTGCGAAACTCACTGGCCAGGAAGGTTGGCCGTTACAAAGACTTGATGGTAGCCATTTTGTCTTTGGTATCTGTTGATGTAGGTCTCCGGTGATATCTCCAAGATTTCCCTCCTAATGTATGCGAATTCTTAGATTCTCGACGGTGGTGTGAACGATCATTGGATTCATTTAGATGCGGCCATCAAACTTCAAGCATCACGACACCACCCAAGCCTAGTTAGTCGAGAGACCAGTCAGCTTAACATGATATGCACCATGCTTCGACTTTTTGCCCAGACTGCACTTCCGAGGCCGAACCCAACTCCATGGAATGATGATGCTGGCCCCGATCGGATGGATCATGACTTTTCAGATCCGAGCATTGAATACATTTACGGCATCACGACGAATCTTGCTAGGCTGATAAAGCGAATATACGAATTAACGCAGCATCTTGCATTTTACAACGGCAGAGAGTACCCCACAACTCTCTTAGCAGCGTGCGAGGAGCTGGGAGATCATTTGAGTTCTTGGAATATTGATATAGAGCCATTCTCAGCGATAGGTACTGAGAGGGAGGATGCACGACAGGTCGCTCGGGCGCAGTCAAGGGCATTCCATTCTGCTGCTTTGATTTACTACTATCGATCTGTCCAGAACTGCAAGCGGGAATACCTTGACACGGAGCAAGAAAATACCCTCCTTGCCATGAACGAGGCCGAAGAGTTGAAGATCCATCTGATCAAGGGTAGCTCTGCGCCGGCTCCACTCACATGGCCGGCCTTTATTGCATCATGTGAGGCGATAGGCGAGTATCGCCAGCGATGGAATGAGTGGTGGACCCGTGTTGAAAAATATCGACTGAAGAATTTTTCGAAACAGCATAGTATTGTGCAGCAGGTCTGGGGCAAGCTTGACAGATCAGGATCCCCCACGGATTGGCGCGACGTGCTTGCGGAAATGAATTTCAGGATCATTCCGGTGTAATGAGATAATAATTCTAGGGAATGGTAGTACGCTACTAGTACATAATATGACAGATATAACATGCCAACTCCGAGTCTATTACTCAGTGGCTGGGAACTCGAAATAATCTATTACAAGATATAGTCCCTAGTATTTACTAGTAAATCTTTAGATGCAGATTGTCTTGTACCTTGCGATTTACAAAATCCAGCCAGTCCCGGGGTTAATCTGGCGTAGAAGAGATAGAATGAAAAAACCCCTAAAATGAATTTGTGTAAGATTCCTGTAGTTCTGAAACTTTGTGCTAAATTGCATCGCTCAATGTAGGCTGGATGTATGCAACCGAAATCATGTGGTCTCATCTAAAGAGGCATTGATCCTCAGTCATCATTCAAAGCTGAAGGGAAATGGATAAAAGTGAACCTCGCTCCCCAGTGTGGTAGAAAACGCAATAAGGAAAGAAATGGAAAAGGAAGCTTAGTCGTGATAGGTCACACTGACGACACTGAATCCCTGGTCCAATCCACTATCTGAATTGTGCAGGACGAGGTTACCCAAGCTGTCAATGTCGAGATAATCGCCACCCTCGATGTACCGCAGAGTGTAACCCAGACCATTTCCGAGGAAAGTAATGCGGATCTGTGAAGCAGAGCTTCGGGCCTCCGGGGCTTGCAATTCTCCACGAGGTCCAAGCCAGCGACCGTCAAGTGCGTTCTCGAGTGTGAAGATCTCGCTCTCTTCATCTTCGGTGTAATGGAGGATCCAGCGGTCTTCCTTCTTGTCGTAAAGATGACCTGGTTTACCTGTGTCGAGGTCCCATCTCTTGTTTTGTCCTCGCAGAGCGTAGCCATTCTTACTGAAGACCAAATAACGGCCTTCAGTCAGATATCCTACAACCTCCTTGTAGCCATCCTCGAAAAAGAGAGAATCGGAAAGATTGCCCTGCTCCCCGTACGGAACGGGAGGGCGTGTCTGACTGTGCCGCGATTGGCAGCGCGATGTGCCCACAAAGTTGCCATTTCCATCGGTCTCCGGAGAGCGGGATATCCGGAAGATTGGGTAGGGAATAATCGGGCTACATACGTCAGTTCAACCGTATTGGCTTTTTGGAAGCCAAGGAAAAGGAGGACATACGTGATCAAGATCCAGAGCGCCGATCAGGTTGGACATGTGAGCACGACGCCATGGCACCATTTGGTCAGTCTGAACACCCGAGTAGCCGAGAGCAGTCAACCACTGCTCAATGAACATAATTTGTGAATTGTGATCGCAACGTTCAGTGAAGACACGGCCACCACGAGTCCACGGAGAGACCATGATAAAAGGAACACGGAAGCCTAAGCACTAGGTCAGTAACTAATGCAGAATGCAACTTTTATAGCTCATATACGGACCGGGCCCTGAAAAAACATCACCAAAGTCTCCATATGGGTCTGCCATCCACTCCCCAGCCGTGCCTTGGGGCGAGTGGAAAGGTGTTACATGATCACCAAAGCCACCAGTTTCTGGGAGTTCTGATTAGTAGTTACTATGCACAGCCAGGAATGTGACTTACCGTCAAAGCTGATCATCAGCAGAGTCGAAGAGTACTTGGGGCTGCTTGTCACGGCATCGGTAATTCTTTTCTGCAGCCAGCCACCGTCCATTGGTCGGTAGGGGGGATGCTCAGAGAGCTCAGTAGGGCCGACGATGAAGCTGACTCTGGGAAGAGTGCCGTTGGCAGCATCCTCGTAGAACTTCTCGAGTCCCACAAAAGACATTCCTTTATCAGCAAGAGGGTGGCCCTTCTTAGCTTGTTGAAACTGCTGGAACCAAGCCAGGGGGGTTATCGTCAAAGTTGTTGGTGTCTTGGTACAACTGCCATGAGACACCGGCATCCTCATAGAACTCGAAGATGGTCTTCCACTTGAGGGGATAGCAGCTGACACCCGGCTTTTCACAACCTAAATTGTTTAGAGATGAGCCAGATGGGGTCCTCTGAGGATCACTTACCAGGCATTTCATTGTTGTCAATGTAAACGCCGCCCTGGTCAGGCGATTGAGGGCCCCCCGGGACATTGATAGAGCCACTGATTAGAGTCACGCGGTTGGGGTTGGTAGCAGTGATTTGAGATTCCTATAATGGATCAGCTCAGGTGTGCTCATACTAATCTGGGACTGATCCTTACCTGATACATATCGGCCGAAGTCCATCCTTCAGCAATGGCAAACTGGGCAGGAATATCTTCGCGCTTGTAGTAGCCCCAGCTCCATGGCGTGTTCTTAGTGGCCCAAGCATTGTTCAGACCGTGGTTGTAAGCAGCCTGATTAGCATGGTAGCCGTTGTCGCCGGCCGCCATGCACTGGATGGCATCCAGAGTCTCGCCGCCCTTCCAACCGAGGTAGAAGGGAAACAGACCGCTGGATCGGTCGGACATGTTAGGATCAACAGTTCTAGTGGGTTTGTTAGAAGCAGATTCTATGTATAGATGTTTCTTCGACTGAACTTACTGATTCCAAACAGATTGTCCATCGGGGTTGATCTGGACGTTAGGATCGGCGAAGCCACGAACACCGGCCATGGTGCCATAGTACTGTGATTCATTCAGTCAGCTGGGGAGGTTTATCTGCATTCGAAGGAGGGTAGGTCTACCGTATCCTGAGCTCGATTCTCCTGCATGAAGATCACGACATGCTCAATATCCTTGAGAGAACCAGCATTAACGGACGAGCTCGCCAGGAGCGCCGTGAGGGCGACTCCGAGGAGAAAACCCATGCTGAAAGTGTGATTCTGGATGAACCTTAGGAAAGGAGTGAAGTTGGAGGAATGAGGGAGCGGTGAGTATTTAAGGAGGAAGACAAGAGCTTCCTGTGTTCAAGCTTCGATTGACGATCGATGATGATCAAAGATCGGGTCGAGCCGAAGATAAAAAAGAAGGAAGTGAAAAGGAAAGGTAGTATCAAGGTAGCAGGTGCCACGATGATAGGTTAGGAGGAAGATGCAAGAAGCAAGATGACCAAATGGTATCCCTCGATTCGAGCATGTGGAGACTGAGGGTCGCGAGAGAGCGGAGATGCAAAGCTGCAAAGCTGCGGGGAATGCCCCACGTGCCTGCCCTAAGACTACACCAAACCACGCCAAACCACGCCAAACCACGCCTCTCACAGGCATCCTGTCGACCCTGGAGATCCCGTAGTGTCTTGCTGAGGCACTTGTTTCAAGGCTAGCTCCTCTTCATCCTTGCGTACTGCCGTGCTGTGTGGTTCAAGACAAGCAGTCAAAGCGGCTTCGAAGCTGCGGGCGTTGCAAGTGACCTACGCCTCCTGCCGATCCCCTTGTCTCCCGCCACTCGCTGCATGTCTTTGCCCTCCGCAAGGGCCGGGGTCCATGCGGCAATCTTAAATCATCCGACGTCCGACGTCTGAAATTGAGGGTCTTCCTCTTCAGAATCATGGAAAGACAAAACAGTCGGCGTCGAAGACCGCCCCGCACCCAAGACTCCCAGCAATCACCCCAAAAGGCCACCTCGTCGGAGCCGAGCTCTCGCCCGTTGCTGAGCTGGGTTCTGATCACTCTCTTGGTGTTGATTTTGGCATATTCGCTTCGCCCGGATATCTACCTGCAATCATGGATCGGTCCACTGATAGGTCATGGTCATGGCCATGGCCATGACGAGGAAGCCTCAATTCGGCCGTATATCGAATTGCATCCCGAGGATCATGTGTTTCGTGCTCCTGTTACTCACCATTTGGATTGGCGCGTTACAAAGGACGAACGCAGGCCTGATGGCGTCTTGAAGAAAGTCTTTCTCATCAACGGTGAGGCTTCCACCGACGGCGATGTTCTGCTCTCTAGCGGTCGTCTGATGAAGGGAAGGTTCCGCTAATATTCATCATTTCGTTTCATCCCATAGATCTGTTTCCAGGTCCCACCGTTGAGGCTCGTTCAGGTGATACATTGATCATCACCGTTACCAACGCCTTGTCAGAGCACCCGGTCGCTCTTCATTGGCATGGCCTTCATGTAGCGAGTGAGTTGGCTGTATCGCCTAGGGATTGACGATTGACCCCGTTTCGGCAGCTGACAGGCCATAGATTCCATGGATGGAGCAGCGGCGGTATCACAATGCCCCATAGCGCCAGGCGCCCAGTATGTCTATAACGTCAGCATCCCTGAAGACCAGAGCGGAACGTTTTGGTATCATGCGCACTCCGGGTTATCGAGACAGGATGGTTTGTTTGGCGGGTTGGTCGTTCATGCACCGGTGTCCAAGTCGACAGTCCGAGGGCTGATGGGCCGAGGGGGAAGGGATGCTGATCGATTTGGATATGAGAAGGAGCATCTGTTGCTCATTGGAGACTGGTATCACCCGCCCGCAGAAGATGTTCTGGCTTGGTACCAGGATCCAGGCAATTTCGGGAACGAGGTTCGTCCAGTCGAACAAAAATCGCATATATTCACTGACTATTCTTTAGCCGGTCCCAGACTCGTTGCTCATTAACGGAGTCGGCTATTTTGACTGTGGTATGGCTGTACCTGCTCGTCCTGTAGACTGTGTCGAGGACCAGACAAAACCACCGTTTCTTCATCTTGACCTTAGCGCGTCCTCCCGAATACGCGTCGTCAACACAGGGTATGCACATTGTCAGATCACAATTGATTCGAGGAGCAGTCACTGAAAGTATCTTTATAGGGCCCTGGGAGGTTTCACTCTTGTATTCGACCAAGAGAGCCTCGAGCTGCTTCAGGTGGACAGTGTTGATGTGGAGCGACCACAGCAGGAGGATGTCAACTCGGCCGGGATTTTGTATCCTGGACAGCGCATGGATTTTGTCCTACGCCCACCTCCCAGTGCAGCAGAGGCAAGGTCATCATCCATGATGGTGAAATTGGATCAAGGGTTAATCTCACTCAGCCCGCTCGTATTCATACTCGTTCTAACTCGTTTTACCTTCGGCTAGATGCTTCAAGTACATGAACCACGCATTAACCCCCGATCAAACCTTCGCCATTCACTACTCAAACACATCCAAAATAGTCGATGACGCGACTTTAATACCTAGCATCCGCAATGAATGGAACCTGGAGAAAATCCCATCGTCCGCTTCTGTTCTCGCAAAACTCCCCGAACAAGCTGACGAAACACATGTCGTGTACACCAAGATCCAGAAGATGGCCCGACTCCGCAACATGCCCTATGGCTTTTTCAATATGACGATTTGGAAGCCTCAGAGCGAGCCCCAAGTCCCACTCATCGCCCTCCCCCGCGAGAGCTGGGATTCGAACCAGTTTTCAATTACCACGGGGCCAGGCCCAACATGGGTAGACCTTGTGGTCAACAACCTAGATGAAGGCCCCCATCCATTTCACATGGTAAGCACACCGACATTTCTCATTTCTACCAAACCAAGCACCCTGAAACATTGCATCATTATTATTGTTTTTCTGCTCGTTTATCCCTTACATCCCCGCTCATGCCATATCACTCCCAGCACGGCCACCACTTCTACGTCCTAGCAACGCACGAATCCACCTTTGGATGGGGCTCATATAATCCCTTTGAAGACGTCATTCCTACCGGTTTCGACCCAGACACCGATCCCACCCAGCCCTACGACTTATCTCGTGCCGCACTGCGCGATACTGTCCAGATTCCCAGCCGCGGGTACGCGGTTCTCAGATTCAAGGCTGACAATCCGGGTATCTGGCTCTTCCATTGTCATATTCTTTGGCACTTTGCTACGGGGATGGCGATGCTTATTGATGTCCAAGGGGACCCGGCTGGACTGGTCGCACATGATACATCTGTGCTTCCAGCGGGAGCACAGATTTGTCCTGGGTCAGCTTAAGTAAAAGGAAAACAGGAGGTACATCGTATAGGACTTATGATTCAATCAGTGTTCATTTGGATCGTGTTGTAGGTATAATGTAATGTCACCAAGCCTTTTGGGGCCTACCCACCAAGAGAGGCAAAGAGAAAGAAAGACCTAACGATAATCACACGGGGAGAAAAAAGTGTAGGAGAGGCTGTGAAAGAGGGAGACAGTGGTAATCCTATGATGGAATGCAAGCTCAAACGCCAGGCCCCAAAAGATACAGGAACTCAACGCCATCAGAAATTATGAACATGGTAATCAGAAAAGCGAGCGTGTCAATGAATCCGATATAAACCAAGACCAGCGTCGCTTGAGATAAAATACACTGTATTGCACCAGGTGGCGTCTAAGTGGCAGCCCATTCAAGGACCTCCAGGGCGCAGACGACCAGTACAAGGGTTGAGGGAAGGATCCTAGGATAGATAATTAGTACCAACTTTTGGATAAATGAAATGAGCGAGGAAGAAGGGACGTACCAGACAACATAGCTCTGGAAAAGAAGTTTCGACATGGCCCCAATGTAGACATTGTTGATTTGGCAGATCTGAGCCAATTGCAGTGCCGATGGGGCTCCGGTAATGAGGAAGCAAACAACAATGAAAATGGGGTCGTCGAGAATGCTGATCGGCACAAACTTTGCCATGAGAGCGATTATCGGTGCCATGATCAGGGTCGGTAGCAGCATTCGTGAAATCAACGCCGCAATAATGAGCTTGCGTTCATCGGCGGGGTGTTCCATATCGGCAAGGGCTTCTTCAGAAAGTGTGTTTCTGGCTAGGTTGGCCCCAAGAACCACCAAAATGAGTGGGACGGCCACCTGGGAGTTCTGTTGAATGGCGCTGGTGACGGAGTTGCTAATGAAAGTGCCTTTGTCGAAGAATAGGTGTTGTAAAGATGGGACCGAGGCAACCACAATAGCGACGAGCATTGCCCAGAGAGGCGGATTCATGAAACTCCATACACCACGGAAGAAACGGCCCAAGCCATGTGATGTGGCTGATAGACCCTTCTGTGTCTTTGGTGGAAGGCGATCATAGAGTGCGTTGGTCTTCGTCGCCCAGGATTCGCGAAGACCATTCCAGCGGCGTCGGAAAGATGTCTTCCAGCGGCCTACAAAGGTTTGCTCTGATGCTTGCAAGTCCCGCGCAGTGTATTCCACGTCGGGGAATGAGAGTATGTCCTCGCCCGTACTTTGGCGCGGTAGGAATGGCCCACGGGGTGGCGGACCGATCGTTCTTGGCGAGAGATCGGAATCGAGGGCGCTGTGTATTGATTCGGTCCTGGAATGAACCGATGAGACCTTCGAGTATGAGTAGGCGCGTGTCGAGATCGGAGTCTGATCGCCTGATTGGAAATTGCCATCATCGTGAATCTGACCATTGGAAGCTCGATGTAAACTATCCGAGCTGCGCGTGCGAAGGAGTGGCTCATCCGGTTCTTTCTGCTCGGGATTGTCGGTATATCGTGCTTGGCCTTGTTCAATGATGGATGAACCGTTCGAGCTCTGGTCAGATTCCTCGAGGTATCGGTCTTTTGGCGCGAGCAAAACATGATATCCCCAGCTCCAACGTACCAGTTGACCTAGCTGCTGGAAGATGAGTAAGTACAAGATACCTCGCGCTGCGACTTCATCGTCGTTATCGTGTGGTATCCTATCCCAGTGCAAGCCTCGAAGGGTCTGCGATAGGGAAACGACCAGGGAGATCGGCAGCGAATTGGAGTTGCCAAAGACCTATTGGAATGCGTGATCAGCGCTGCAACATGTAGAGCTTATCAAAGGGCGCGACGACTATCGTCGATTGGAACCAATCAAAGTGACAAGGAGCCCTGAGGCACATACCGCCATCGCCGTAACGAAGTTTGACTTGCGCTTCTTAAAGTGAAAGCATCGGGTGACAGCCCAGGCGCAAGAGTATGAGACTAAGGTCTGAACAATGAAGATCACCGGGATGATCGCCAGGTCCGTGAGTTTCTCCGCGGTCAGTTGGGAGCCCAACTTGACGAAAACTGGATCCGAAAATGATTGTCAGTAACCCGGTTATAAATGCGACCGGAATTGAGGGGGTTGTCGCTTGGTTCCACGGCGGAAAAGAGTCGGGGTATCATACTCAGACAGGGGGTGAAGAGCATCACGTTCAGGTTTGCGACAAACTTTTGGGCGTCGGCGTCGAAGAGGCCCTGCTGGGCGACAATGTAGCCGGGCAAGCAGACACAGACGACCTCCAGGACGGCCTCGAAGACGAGGAGCAATAAGTAGCCAAAGGGAGGGTGCTTGGGCTGGGGGGTTGCCGCTGGCCATGAAGGCGTTGCTGGCAACCAGCGGATCTTGGGCGAATGCATTGTATTGAAAGGAACGAGGTGCGGTAAAAATTGCCATGAAGGCGATAAGAAAAGTTGAGGAGTGTCCTGTTCCTGTCCTTGTCCACGGGGACAAAAAGGATGAAGGGGGGGAGGAAGGGAGAGCAGGAAAGGAAAGAAAAGAAAAGAAAAGCAAGGCAAGGTAGAAGCTTGGCTGTGGCTATGGGAGAGTTGGCATTCGGTCAGATCATGACTTCAACGATGGCCACGACCAAGTTTATTGGTGTTGGTGTTGACCTGCCTCAACCAGGGTTGCCCTGATTGCCCCGGTTTGTTTTTGTTTGCCAGATCCAGGTCCATTTCACGCCATGTGTAACCATGGCCTTGTATTTAGAGAGCTACAGTAGGGTACTAGTCAACTGCCAGTGGTCTACCTTAAGGTACATATGTGCATATCAGTATTCTATTCATCGGAAGTTTCCTATGTATGATAAGTATGATAAGTACAAGAGTACATTTGTAACAAGCACCAAGACAGTTCAGCTCGACGCGTCTCGACCCGTGGATCCGTGAATGACGCCACAGACGATCGACAAATCAGAATGGGGCCTGCCGACACGTTGTCACCAATCCGGATGGGGCTGCTAATTAGGGAGTAAAGTACTGCACTGAGGGAGAGTACTAAAGTAGTAGAATATGTGGATGTATGAAGAATCTTAGATTAGATCAATCACATTGAGATCGGGTACCCCATGCTAGTACTAGTAGTACCCATAGTCCATGGCATCCCCTTCACTCTATAAGTAAGGTCTGATCTCGTTCACATGCTCTAATCAAATATCGCAGAATGGTATATTACAACAAATCCCCCCCTATGTCCATGCTCACACAAGGAGTCATCTATGCTTCTCCCACAAATCCTAATTTTTCACCGATCTTGATACGCTGCCCCTTTTCAATGCTCCATGTCCATCCGTCAGACGGTTGCTCCTCAGGCCACCCCGCATCAACAGATTGCCGAGTACCCAGAGGTGCCTCAAACACCATCACAATCGAACTTCCCAGCTGGAATCCACCCATCTCCTCACCCCGCTGCAGAGGGTGTCCATCCAGGGTACGGCTGGCATGACGGTATGTTGCCTCCACGAATCCGGGATCCTGCTCGCCTCGTTTCGCAGCCAAGGCCGCCGCCAAGTCCGCCGCCGTGTCCGTTAACAGACTGTTGGTGCGCAACTCTCGGTCAAAGTTGATTTTGATCGAGCCCACATTCGTGGCACCCACCGGTGTGTAACTAAAGAACCCCCAGCGCCAGCGACCCAAAAGCGCCACCCGCTCGTTGAGAGTGAATAGACCTGGTAGATGGCGTTGCAGGTAGGGAGAAACCGAGTACAATTCGCCCGCAAAGTGACGACGGCTCTCCACCACCCACGCCGTAGGGGAGTGGAACCGGTGGTAGTCTCCGGGTGCAAGGTAGATCACCACGTAGAATAAAGCATGCTTATTGGCTGTTCGAGGTGCATACCAGGGCATCCCGTCGCCGCGAGCCAGCTCTTCCTGCACTTGCACTTCCGAGGTTGTTTTGGAGGTGGTCGATGCATCAATCGAGCCTCGTCGCTTGGTCGAGGTCTCGCCCGATAGGAGATTGGGAAGGGTGTAGGAAATGCCATTCAGGCGAGCAAACTCCTCATCAGACTTGAGCTTCTCGGCGTCTTTTTGAGTGGCTTCCGTGGTAGAATCAGCGAGGCGGTTGCTGTGGTCAGCGTTTGTCGGCGTAGCCGATCCCAATAGGGCATCCAAACTATAGGTCATGCCCTTCACCTGCTCCACTTCACCACGCTCAATCATACCAAACTGTAGAATACGGCCATCGGAAGGTGCGAGTAGGGCTCGTGGGTCGGGGTCAAGAGGTCGCATGCCGGGCTTCAACTTGCGATAAAAGAATGCCGCAAGGTTGGGGTACGTGTGTAGATCGGGTTCGGCGACCTCGCTCAGGTTCACGCCAAAAACCCAGGAGTATAATTTGAATCCAGGAACGCGGAAGTAATAGGGAAGTTCGATCTCGTTGAAACGGCCCCAGAGGCGCGACATGGCCTTCAGGGGTAAGGTTGACATGAACTGCACCTGCCAGGAGCCGGTTGGTACGATACGTGGGCGACGTGGTGGTCGGCCTCCATTCTCCCACTCCTCGCCAGCGGCATCCTGAGCCGCACGATCACGCTCTGCTCGTTGGGATTTGTAAAATGACAAAACCCCCAAGAGGCCGATCCCGAGACCGACAGGGATCGGGTACCATTCGACCTTGGTGTTGCGCAGGGCAAAGCGTAGTCGGGACCCAAATCCTCCATTTTTGCCGCTGCTGCTGCTCTCTTTCTGATTATCTTTGTTATACTGTCTCCATGACTTGGAAGAAAAATGGCGCATGCTGGCCTGGTGGCGGGCAGTGGCCCGAAACGAAAGGACTTCCATCGTCGCTGCGCCCCCGGTCACCGGGGTGGCGTGATGGAAACGAAGAAGGGGGGAGTTGTGGAGAAGGCGCTGGGCCATCGTGTTTAAACCATGGGGTTCTCGGATCGACACAGAATCGATCTGACCTCGGCGAGGTTTGGCCCCGAATGAACGTGACCAGAAGTTTTGAAACCAGGGGCTGTCACCGCCCGGCAGAATAGCACTAGCACCCGCAGTGGGCACGTGGAGTACGGAGTACTTTGTACTTCATTATGTCCTGTACTCATTACTTTACTTCTCTCTTCTACTCTCTTCTCTCCTCCAATTGGTGATGATTTGTGATTGCGACACGTCTACAACTGCGTTTGTACCTGTTGGACATCCCTTTTACCTTGTTCCGGGGATTGTTGGCTGATACTACCAGTCATCCCTCTGTTAACCCTACGCGGATTACTCCAAAGTTGCCCACTATCGCGCTATCAGCCCCGGTTCTTGGCTTCCTGCCAGATCTCCCCAAAGCAAACATCCCCACAAAGGCGCACCCACCGTTGTCGCTTCACCAGCAGGGCTTCCTTTGTATACCATATTCATCGTTGGATTAAATCCCTTCAACCGCCGCCGTCACACCTTCTTCGCTCCTCTCACTGCCACCACGCCATGATCATCTAGCTATCCACGTCATCGCAAAGCTACAGCTGCTATCAACATGACAACTGATCCAGTTACAAAAGGAGCTGCCCCGATGGCGTCCGACAAGATCACCCTACATGTTATCTCCCCTTCAATCCCCGCCCCAGGCCGATTTACGCTTCACGATCAACCACTCTCGGACACCGTTGCACAAATCAAGGCTCGCATTACACAGTCTCTCCCAGGTCGACCAGCACCGGCACAACAGAGATTGATCTATCGGGGCAAGCCTCTGACTGATGATCGAGCGAGCTTAGCATCTGTCCTGGGGCCCATCGATGTGAGTATCCAGGTTCTTATCATTTACCACTTACCATGCTATGTTGATCTAACCGCGCCAATTCTAGGGATCCCCATGCTCAATCCACCTTGTCCTGCCTCCAGCTCCAACTCCCACCACACCCTCCTCAACGCCAAGCGCAGCAAATGTACCATCGCACTTGAACCAATACGTTTCGTCGACCGGAGTGGCGCCTCAACCAGCAACGTCGACACAAGGAATTCGATACCGCGGACAGGCGCCTCTTTCCTCGAACGTCATTGGACAGGGCTCTCAAGACAGATCGGATCATATTCGGAGCGAGCTAGATGCGATGTTAGAAAGATGGCGAGCCACAGCTCCCTCAAGCTTGGACCAGACCAGTACACTCAGAGAAGAACTCCGGCGTCGGGGTGTTTTGACAGAGGAGATGGACCGAATGCTCCAGGCCAGCTCGTCCCATCAAACTTCACCATGGATTGATTCGCGGTCGAATTTTGCTCGGTATGACTCCACCTCTTGGGGTCACAGTACTACATCTGCTCAGAATATCAATGCCAATCCTGCAAATGCCAGGTTCCCTGCAATGCCTGCATGGAATCCGTCCCCTTCTCGCACAACAACTAACAGCGGTGACCCTGCTGCACCCGCACAGGATTCGTCAAGGGCGACCACATCAGAGCATCACAATTGGGCTATGCCGGCATCGAGTTTCAAGCAAACCAACACAAACATTTCGCCAGGCACAGCTTCGAATCTTCCATCAGCATACGGAGCTCAATCGGCCCCTATTGACACCAGTACATTCGCTCAATCAGATCCTTCTTCGGCCCCATATCTTGAGCAAATACAAGGCTGGCAATCTCTTTCTCAGCAAGTGATGGAAATGGAAAATCTAGTCAACCAACACATCATACCGTCTGTAGACATGATGTTCCGAATTCGAACACAACTTCAAAACATGCTGGCTGAGAGGCAGAACCAAAACATCGAAAGGATATATTCCACGCCGCCCAATCATCGCCTTTTCCCTTCGACGGCGGGTGCTGTTGAGGTGATGATGAGTCGTGTCACCCGTGTCTACGAGCGTGTCGATCAGATTACCCTGATCCAGCAGGCCCAGCGAATTAGAGTGGGGATGAACAGTCCTTCCTTTTCGCAAACTGAGCCTTCTCGGATTTACCTAGCAACTCACCCAGATGGCCGACAAAGCCTGATTCTACCCCCCAAACACCACAATTAGGACCTCGTCCGAAGTTTCTTCTCTCCAGTCTCATGCAACCCCGGCTCCCGAAGCTCAGGGGAATCCCAATGCTGCCAACGCCGCCGCCGTTCATCAGGCCGTTCGACAAGCTCTGATCAACCAACAGCAACGACAAGACGCCAATGGTGCGGGTCTTGGACGTTATCTACGCCGCGTCTGGATGTTCATTCGCATGTACTTTTTCTGCTACATGATCAGCGATGCGGGTACTTGGACGCGTATCTTCCTCGTCACATGCGCCGTGCTAGTGGCAGTTCTGTCAGATACAGACATTCCTCAGCAGCTCCACGGGGCCATTGTCGCCCCCGTCCAGCGTCATCTTGAAGGTCTAGCCCACATGGGTGGGCCCGCTGATCAATCTACGCAAAGGCCAAACCAAGGCGGCGAGAATCGTGGTAACCCTGCGCCCCAGGGTATGCTTGGCGAAATCTTGCACTTCCTTCGACGCGCGGAGAGATCTATTGTGCTTCTTCTTGCTAGCCTGGTTCCAGGTATCGGTGAGCGGCAAGTCGAGGCACGCAATGCAGCCGAGGCCGAACGAGTTCGTCAAGAACAAGAGCAAGAACAAGAACGGGAGCGCGAGCGTGAGCGTGAGCGTGAACGTGAACGTGAGCAGGAACAGGCTCAGGGGCTGGGAGGTGAAAATGAGCATGAGCATGAAAGAGAGCAAGCCGGGTCTGATGCCGCCGCTGCTGCTATAACGCAGCCTGAGCAGACTGTTGCTTAACTTGACAGATTCTCGCCCCGATACTCGTACGCGCTAGGCACATTCTACGATACCCTATTCAGCGTTTGCGTCAATCTCTTTCCATAAACCAGCGTGACTTGTGTCTTCGCGTGTGTCTTGCTATCCTACGGGATCTTTTATTTAGCTGTTGAAACAAAATAATATGAAATAAATTCTTCATAATTTCCGCTATGTCGAACATGTATGTCTTAGAATTTGGAACTTTTAGATGCATCTTGCGCCATACGGCAACCCTTCAAACCGTTTTCTTTATTCTCCGATCCACCTTCATCCGCAGCACAGCCGCCAGAACCGTCGCAGCCGTTGCCATTGATCCTGCATAGAAAATTGCCGGTCGATACGCTCTAATTCCGCCCTCCTGACCACCGGAGGCATTGAGAATGTAACCAGCGATAGGGGCACCCATAAGGTAGCCACCCAGCCATCCACTGACAATCATTCCCACGGCAACAGATACGCGTGCAGATCCAAAGACATTGCCCACGACCGTCGGCATAGTTGAGAAAAATCCACCATTCGCGGATCCATTAATGATCACGAATGCAACCAGAGGCCCAATCGAATTAGACACCGGCCAAAGGACGAAAATACTGAACGCGCTCAGAAGTAGCGACAAGAAAAGCGTGTTCAGCGATCCGAGCTTATCACACGCAAATCCACAGGAGAGACGACCAATGGCCGAGCTAAAGTTGAATGCAGCGACAAGACCTGCACCTGCGCTCGACGGCAACCCAAGTGAGCTGGTATACAAGGGCAAGAAAAAGGCCGGCACGAAGAGCGGGAATGTTCCAATGACGCCGACGGCAAAGAGGACCGCAAAGCGGACGTCTTTGAACAAGCTCCACTCAACCATCTTGGTGGGCATGATTGCTGCACGCTCCTTGATCAACCAGGCGGCCGGTAGACCAGTAGCCATGATGAGGAAACCCAGGATTCGGAAGGTCCAGGCGATTCCCACGCTTTGAAGCAATGCATCCAAGATGAAACTGATGACGGTGCCACCGAGTCCACCGCCAGCGTAGACTATACCATTGGCGATGCCTCGTTTAGCTTTGAAGTATTGTGCTGGTGTGACGGAGACGACCTAGGCAGATAGTGATTAGTACAAAAGAATGTTGGATGGTCGAAAATAATCTGCGAATGGGCAGACTCACCATGAAGCATAAGCTCGTTCCCAGACCACCCACAAACCCCCACGTCATAAACAATCCCGCAATACTGTCCGTAGCAAACCCGCTCAGAATACTGCCCAGTCCAAGCAGAAAGATCCCCAGGCAAGCCGTGATGCGTGCGCCAATCAGTCGAATCAGTCTCGCGTTTAGGAACAGCCAGTAACGAGATACAGGCTGGACAGAGCGAGCCTACAAAGGCCAAGGTCGAGGATGAATAACCTTTCTTCTCCACTAATTCGGCTTGCATGACACCCCATGTGTAAGATGCACCGACAAACCACCAGGTGACTACCGCGCAAGCAGAGATCAAAACCCATCCATATCCGCCATCGGGAACTTGTGAATCCGCAATGAGAGACTGTTGCATGACCTCATCGGCCTCTGCCTCCGGTTCTGTTTGAGATATCTGATTCCGTTGTCTTTCACCGGTGCTGTGGTGGAGATTCGGCAGTTCGACTGCCGTTGTCGGCATAGTTTGTGTGATCGTCGCCATTCCGTGAGGCTCTGCTAAGATGATATTCCTTTCACGTAAATGGAATGGACGTTGACAGGATGCTGCAAATCCGCAAGGTTGGCAAAGAGTTTAAATCTTCCTCCAAATCTTATTTGGACTGCATTATTAATTCTCGTTGCTTTGGGCGCACCCCACATGTCATCTCCCCGTGGGTAACCGATTTTTTACTCCATCCAAAGTTGCAACTGGTGGAGTCGTGGCGATGTGGATACTTGAGGTGACTCACTGACAGATGCGGAAGTGGCCGACTTCGGGGATCTGATAGTAATACTCCGCTCCATACTAGTACTAGTACTAGTAATAGTATTAAGAACTAACATCAGAACAGCATGGAGACATTATTGCGTATGGAATAAAGAATTATATTCTTAAATCTAAATACTCGGCGAATTCCGCTGAATAGTCAAAACAAAAAAAAAATTCAACGTAAAAGATGATAGATCTATCGCTGCATCGATTGCTCGACAATGCACCATACATCATCCTGTCTACTCTAGTAATGATTAGAATGTCATAAGACTCACTTTCCTCATAACTTTGTCGTGCCAATGGGTGGGTCCGCAGGTGTCATAGAGTTTGTATCAAATCCCTCCTCCCCGTTGAAGTGCCTATCAATCGAAGTAGATCAGTATCAAAATAAGGATATACGAAAAATCAAAGGGAATACTCACCATCCTCTCTCCGCACCTCCACTCAGGAAACTGCAGTCTCCATTCAACGCACAGTCCCATCCACCTCCAACACCCTTTCCATTCTCCCACTCCGGCACACCCTTCGAACGATACAACTTCGTTCCCTCGGCCAACACCCCCCCTTCAACCCTCAAATTCCCACCGGTAGACACGCCTCGTCGACGGAATGTACTCATCCCAGCCGTGAAAACATAGAAGTCCTCGACAGAACTATCCTCCGGCATATTTCCTGTCAAAGCCCGACCCATGGCAATAAGCGAAGCTGCATGCGCACAAATCAAAATGGCCTTGCTGGTTCTTTGCTCAGGAGATTGACTTGCCTCCACGGCCGTGATCTCGGCATCCACGTCGGCGATTATGCCCTCCAGGGCTGCGGCGACACGGTTGTGCAATTGAGCGATTGTTTCGCCTCTTGTCGATGGGTGGATCAGAGGCGAGTACTTATTCTCTGGAGTTTCGTGTAGCATTGTTGGGAAATGGGTGCGCATGACACTTGGTTCAGGATGCGGTGGGTGATCGAAGAACGTCGTTGGGCCGAACCATTCTCTGTAAACAGTGTGAGTTCATGTCGGATGATGGTGAGGGTGAGGTTGAGGAGTTCACTGTCCACCTACCCTAGTCCATTTTCAAGCCGGACGTCCATATCTGCGCTTGGTTCAATTTGACCACGCGATTGAATCGCGGATTTTCCGTCCTGGGATTTAATTCCCTTATGCTTCTGCTTCAGCTCCTCCACGGAGGGCTGGATGGTCTGCAGACATCGGTAAAACGGACTTGAATAAATCCTGAACGGCTTAGGGTGAAAGTCCGGGGCGATGATGTGTGCCGCCAGCTCCTCCGATTGTCGAACACCATGCGAGGTCAATGCTGGATCGGCGGGGTTTCCTGTCGGCGTTGGAAACTGTGCTTTGTAGACGCCGGTGCGGTGGTCAATCGTCCAGTTGAGACGATGCTGGAAATTGAAAGTCAGCCACAATTCGGATATCCCCCACCTGGCATGCTTGGTCTTCTTGGTATGGACTCACCCCGTGCCGAGTCAGGTATATTGTGTCTAGCGGCATTGTGGTTGAACAATCAATACTAGTACGAGTAGTAATATCCAAGTCCAAGTCGGTTGGGCTTTGCGGGGAATGGCAGAATAATACTTGGGGGGTTGGGCGGTGAGATTGGGCCTCGGTCCGGAACTAAATAACACTCCAGGGCTGCTGTCATGAACTATCATGTTCATGGATTTCATCAATTTTGATAGTAATTATATACTTGATAGAATTTTACAGAATCTACGAAGGTGCTGCTATTTCTTAACCAGTCTCCTATGTTGGAAATAAGAAGCATTGCGGTCAACAGGCGTTTTCTAGATAGTAACTACTATATAACGTGTTTCATGGGTAATCCGGCCACCCAAAACACCATATTAAAAGCGATAAATTACAATTCAATAGCTCAACAACCATAGTAATCCAAAGCTAAATATTGAAGTTCTATAATCTCTATCATACCCTTGTCACAAAAACCGAAGGAGAAAATAGTCTGGATATATATACCTCGCGAAATATCTGATAAAATATAGGCCGAAAATAGGTATGGTTGTTGAGCTATCGAATTATAATTTATCGCTTTTAATATGGTAGCTTGGGTGGCCGTATTACCCATGAAACACGTTACTCTATGCCAGCGATACTAGCAATTACTAGTTAGTAGTGCTAATCCATGCCACGGTTCAAGTTCAAGTTCAAGTTATTTTTTTCTTTTTCTTTTTTGACATCATTTCTTGACATCAGAACCAACATTCCACGTGGAAAGAGTATTGGCTTTATTTAAACCGTTTATCTTCCCTTCCTCCAAATATACTTAAAATCTGTCAAATACCCGCCGCCGAAGAGCCTAGTCTCAGCCAAGTGGCCTGGCCGTTTCAGGTATACTCGTACTAGGACCGTTTCGGGGGCTCCGGTAGCCAGAAATTTGCAGGACTGAAGAACTGTTCGGTACTCTATGAATAATCAAAATAAAACAGAATCTAATCCGTTTTCAATATGGTTAGTGGCATTGAGGATCTGTTCAAATTTAGTATTTAATCCTCTTCCAAACCATGCAGACCCTTGCCAGCAACTACAGCTTTGAGACTCCAATTTTTCATCTTCATCAACAATGAAGATCACATCATCTCTCATCTCTGCAGGTCTGCTGGGAATAGCACACTTAGCTGCTGCTGTTTCAGTCTCGGGTTCGGCTGAAGGTTTCGCTACTGGAGTGACAGGCGGCGGCGATGCCGATGCACAGATACCTAGTGATATTGATGAGCTGAAGGAGTGGCTGACCGATGACACCGCCCGGGTTATTATTCTTGACAAAGAATATGACTTTACTGAGTCAGAAGGCACAACTTCTGGGACCGTTTGTGCTCCTTGGGGCAACGGTGATGGCTGTCAAAAGATTATCCAAGATGACTGCGGAGATTCCCCTTCTTCCCAAGCAACCTGGTACACTGCCGGAACTACAGGCATAGATGTCGGTTCGAATAAAACTATCCTCGGTGACGGGGACAAAGGCATCATCAAAGGAAAGGGCTTGAGATTCAGGAATGGAGTTACGAACATCATCGTGCAAAACATTCAGATTTCAGACTTGAACCCCGGGTATGTATGGGGTGGCGACGCCATCTACTTTGATGGGTCCGATCTAATCTGGATTGACCATGTGACTGTAAGTACTATCCAGACAAGAGATGCATTGCGAATGCTCATAGAATTTCCAGACGGCCCGTACTGGTCGCCAGCATTACACCTTCGGGTTCGATACCAACACCCGCATCACTCTCTCAAACAACTTCGTGGATGGAGAGACCACCTACTCAACCGGATGCGACGGATACACCTATTGGACCTTTGAGATGGTCGGTGACGCGGATGAGATTACTTTGCAAAACAACTACATCTACATGACCTCCGGCCGCAGCCCAGCTTTGAGCGGAGGGACCCTCCTGCACGCCGTGAACAATGTGTGGGATAAGAATAACGGACATGTTCTCGAGGGTGGAAACTCCTCTGCTAGGGGAATATTTGAGGGAAATGTTTGGCAGGATGTTACGACCGTTTTTGGTGAATATGCCGGCCGGCTTTTCGTTACTCCCGACTCATCTTCTGCTAGTGAGTGCCAGTCTGCTCTGGGTCGTGCGTGCGAGGTGAATACGGTTCCAGATCAGGCTATTGTATCTTCCTATACAGACATTTCCCTTTTCTCGGACTTTTCGGGGCTTACTATTGCACCCGCAACATCTGCCAGCGAGGCGCTATCTAGCGTCCCGAATAACGCAGGAATGGGCAAGCTCTGAAGTCTGGCGTGGGCTTCTGGACAATTTAGTAGTCTGAATAGTTTAGTTGGAGCTCATTACCAAGGTGTATTGCACCGGCTTAGTACCTTCTTAATCACCCATTCCGACCCTGGAAGGTTGTCCCTTCGGTAGAGTTAGAGGGACCCCATCCTCAAGCAATATAAACATAAGTCGCACTGGGACAAAAGTTTGCGTCCATCAGCGGCCATGTCCCACTTTTTTCAAGTACCAATAAAACATTATAAATAATATCAAATTCAACACACAAAAGTAATATAGTAAAAACAGCAGCTAAAATACTAACAAGAAAAATATAAGCAATATACGTAAAACCATGGGTGAATTTTTAAAAATGGTTGTTATGAGGAAAGGCAGTCGCGATCGCTGCTTTTTAGCGTCAAAGTACATTGAAAACACGCTAGTGCCCACTAGCGTGGACGGAAACTTTTGTCCTAGAACTGTGTGCCAGTGATAGTCTACACAACCTTGTGGAAGTCAATCCCCTAGATAATGACTAGGCGACTGATAACCAGCAAGGCCATAAGCTAGTAATCTGTCTTATGTTTCGGCTTACTACTACCCTCTTCATATCCGAATGGGGTCACGTGCCAATGAAGAGGGAGTAAGCGTTAATATTTAGATTGCGGATGCTGCTAGGTACCAATGAAAGGGGAGGAGGTTCACATGATGAAATGCGGCTGCGCAGCAGCGACCCCAATTCCTGGTGTCTCCTACTCGTTTTACGAAGTAATACGTTGACCAGAATCGGTAGCATTGGATCGAAGCCATGTACTCTGTAACTATCATCAGGGGGTATATGTCCGCTACACTAGATTACATTCCCAGGGACCAGCCCAAGCATGAAGAAACCAGTCAAAACAACAACTTTTTATTGAGGTTGGAATTTTTTTTCAACAACTTCCATCTAGTAGAAGAAGCCGAGGAGCTTGCCAGCAACGTGCTTGCGGCGAGCCTCCTCGTGGTCCATGATACCGGCGGAGGTGGTCAGGACGACGAAGCCGAACTGACGAGAGGGCAGAAGCTGGACAGCCCACTTCTCGAGGTCACGGAGCTGGACGGGGTAGCGGGGGTTGATGACACCGCACTTGTTGAGACGGCCGTTCAGCTGGATGACGATCTTGCCGGAGCGGTGGTCGTCAACCTCCTCGAACTCGCCGATGTAGCCTGAAAAAGAAAAGTAAAAGTCAGCGATGTTGCGAAGATTTAAAAGTCGCCAAACACAGCATTGCCAAGAGCGCTTTCGGAAACATGTAAGATCTCCGCTGAAAATAATCTATCGGACACTTAAAAGGCAGACGTCGTAGGTTGATTGAGACCGGCCGCCTAGTTATCAGCCCGACGTCCTTGAGAGGACATGCTGAAGACAAAAATGGGGGAAAGGGGGAAGAGATAATAAGAAGAAGAGAAAAAGAAAGAAAAAACATGGCAACGGCAATGGCAATGCAGTCTTCGGCTTGTCGACTTGAGAAAGGTTGGGATTGGAACGTACCGTGCTTCTGCATGACAGTGAGGAACTTGACGATGACCTTGGAGGAAGGACGGATCAGGACTTGGCGCTTGCCAGCCTTCTCGGCGTTGTTCATGGCGTTGAGCGCATCGTTGAGGACGGAAGTCTTGACCATTTTGGCGGTTGTGAATTCGAGATTCTCAAATCAAGGAGATAGGATTATGAGGTATCTTTGCGAATGCCGGGTTGTTAAGTCAGCCACCAGTAGTCTTCGAGCGCAAAGAGTGCCCCTTTGCAGGAGTTCTTCAGCCCGTGCCGGGATGGGAGAGGCGTATCATCGTGACCTGCTGCGACCGACTCGAATCGAATCAAACCGAATCAAAAAGCAGTGAAGATTTTGTCGTCTTCGGAGGGGATTCACAGCAAAGTCATGATGATTGCAACTCCCAGACTAGCTGTGAGGCTGGTAGGGGGTAAGGGCGTACATACCTCGAGGATGAATTGGTCGGGGCGTGTCGTGGATGAAAATCTGGCGGAGCTCAGTCAACTTTGGTTTTGCCAGGGCCCGCTCGTCGCTGACTGTGCGAGCTTACCTAATGTCATATAGGGTTACGCGGGTATGCCCTTATCTTGTATCACCACGTGACAAAACAGCACAGCCACAGCCACAGTCCCCAGATTCCGTACCATGGTACCAACCTCAATCACACTGTATGTATGTTTAATCTGCGTCTATAGATCCCTATCTGGAATCAGACGCGCATATTTGGCTCGATATCTTCTAATTGGTCATCCATTTGCGGCGTAGTAAAGTTTGAGGGACTTGTGATAGAGGAGGGTTCTATCTAGCTATACTACCTACCTTGAGGTCTTCGCCGTGTGCTGGATGGCCATGACTACGCCGAGTGCTAGTATCACGTACACGAAGTTTAAGTCGATCCAAAGGATTTATGTTTACATGCCCGTCTAGAGCTAGTCGTTAACCCGGTGTCTCAGTTACCTTCTAATGCCCTGAGATAAACTATCTTCACATGGGGGTCTACGTAAAGGTTGGACCTCATATGGGGGTACATGCGCATCATTTCTGATTACCATCGTAACAATTCAACTTCATACATTGTAGAACATCAAATTAACTCAGCATGTTGTACACTTTTGGTGACTGAATCTCAGATGTTGACCATATTTCAATTACATTTACGAATACATTATATCCACTAGAATTGCATCAGTCAATTTTCCGGTGAACATGATACAGGGGATAGGGATCCGGGTTCATTGAACAGTGGTCATCTATACATCGGAGTGTCCAGTGCAAGTCTGGGCTGAGGGGTGAGGTAGGAGTATACGATAGAGAGGAGAGGGAGAAACAGCTTTTCATGACGACGATTCTTTTCTGGAAATTGGGAGACATGATTCAGGGGTTACATGATCGGGTGCGTACATGAGTCAATGGGGGAGGATACATGAGGTCTTTGGGCTACATGACTTGCAATGCTATAAGGATGCGAAGGGGTCTTGTCTAATTAAAAGGCAGGGTAGGAAAGGTGAGGATGGGTAAAAATGGGTTGTATCACAAAACGAAAAGGAGAAAGGAGAAGGAGTTAGAAAAGAGAAACGGCCATAAAGGGGAAGAGGTGGATGGGATTTCAGTCGAGGATGTCATCGTGGGGGTTGGCAACCAGGAAGAAAAAGGTGCTAGGGAAGGGGAGGCTAGCGGAGGTCAAGAGCCGGGACTGGGCGAGGAGATGATACGGATAGACCTCCTGGGGGATTGGGATTGGGATTGGAAGAGCGTAGCAGTCATTGAAATCCACTGGCAACGTAAGAGAACGTAAAGCAACGTAGAAACTCGACACTCGCGAATGGAAATACCAATCCGATACGAGGGGTAAGACAGCCCGGGACTTTTGGGTTTAAAAGCCATGGGTGCCCTGGGCTGCTGTCCCAAGCCGACACTTTGCTGATCCTAGCTTAGGATCAGGAGTGATGTTGAGGGGCAGCAAGTCATCACCATTAGGATGAAACCTCTCTAGTGCCAAGCTTAAGACATACCAGCGCCAAGGTTGATTTGGCGCTTGACCTGCTCGCGAGTCCAGCGGGCGGTCTCAATGGTCCGAGGGCTGTACTGGCGGGTGGTACGGGTCTCGCGGACGAGAGCGGTGACCCAGTCGTTGCGGAAGTAATGAGCCAGCTCGCCGTTGGGGAAGGAATCGGCAAGATCACCGAGAACACCCATCGAGGAACGCATCAGGCCCTCGCTGCGGTTACCCTCCTGCGAAATGATGTGAAGGAGCTGGAAGATGGACTCGATGAATGGCTGGAGCTGAGTGATCGAAGGTGTGCCCTTGTAAGAAAGCAGGATACCACCCCAGGCATCCATGATACCCTCGCGGAGGGAGACAATGTAGTCGACCATGTCGTATGGAAGGTCGGAGCTGGTGGTGACCGAAGAGGCTTGCTGGAGAACACCGCCGACAACAGTGAGGTAAGTGTCGAACTGGGTTCCAATAGCCTGGGCAATGTCACCGAAAGTCTCCAAGATGGCAGGCTTGAGCTGGTTGGTAGCAGTCTGTAATTGATTGTCAGTGAATGTTTTGTTGATTCCAGTCTACAGAATATACAACTTACCCGCAAAATGCCCAGAAGCAGGTTCATGAAGTGGTCGCAGTAAGGTTGAACCTTGTCGTTCATGGCACGGGCAATATCGCTGACGAGACCAATGGCCATGGCGCATAGAGCGGGCTCCTCCTGGTTACCCAGAGCATTATACAAGAAGGGGCTGAACTGCTCCATGTACTTAACGAAGTCCTCCTCCATAGCGCTGGCAATAGCACCAACGGTGGCGAAGATAACATCAGGGACACTGGATTTGGCTCCAACGGTCTGGAGAACCTGGAGCAGAACAGTCATAATGCGATCGGCCTGGGGCTTGATATCGGTTTCGAAGCGCTGGACAATGGCCAGGATGACACTGATCAAGCTGGTCTGCATCTCCTCAAGAAGCATGCGGTCCTCGGCGCTGACGACCTGTTGTTGCATAGGGATGGTCTGTTCCAGGCGCTGGAGGATGACGTCTGAGAGAGTGGCAACCATAGCGAGGCTGTCGTTGGCGGAGTTAAGGACGAAGGAGTTGAGAACCTCGTATCCAGCAGTACGGAGCTGGTTGTCAGCATCCTGTCTGTGGGGGAGTCAGCTACGTTGAAAATGTGGAGAGATAGTTTGGAAATACATACCGCTCAGTCACTGTTAGGAGAGACTTGACACTTTCCTCGAAGTGCTTAGACAGGGGGTTGGTCTGGGAGCCGGCATCACCAGCGAATCGGTCGGCAACGTTCATGAGAGCCCAGCAGCAGGAGCTGGCAATCTTGGGGCTGCTGGCAAGACCGTTGAAAAGGCAAGAGATAAGGGGCTGCAGGTGGACCTCGGGGTCGAGAACCTCGGGGCAGCAGTCACAGACCCGGCCCAGGGCGTAGGCAGTGGAGTCACGAACCGAGACGGAGTTGTCCTCCATCATACCAAGGAGAACAGGCAGAGCCTGCTTGATGAGGGGTTCCAGAACGCGGGGCTCGGGGCCCTCCATGATACCACCGAAAGCAGCAACGGCAGCATCACGATAGTGCCAGTCCTCATTGCGGATGTTCTCCTCAACGAAGGCAACAACAGGCTGGATGACATCGCCTTGCACGCATTGGGCGTAAAGCTGTAGCGCTTGGTAGGCAGCGCGCGACACATTATATTCCTCATCAGTGGCATCCTCATCCTGGCGGCACATAGCTTGCAGCAGAACCGGGAGGACCTCGCGAGTAGCCACACGGGCAAAGCCAAAGAAAGGACGGGCCTCGACGCCTTCTTGGGCCGCCTCGGCGTTGTCGTCCTCGATGGCAATCTCTTCTTCGCAAACAGTGCACCAGAATTCGATGGCAAGCTTGGAGACTTCCTCCTCCTCGCTCTTCATACCCATGATGCTGAGGCCGAACAGAGCCTTCTCCATGTAGAAGCGCATCTTCTCGTAGTATGCGCCCATGATACGGTTCAGACAGCCGAATGCACCAGCCTGCACACGGACCTCATCGGCCTGAGTGGCCTCGCAGACAACCTGCATAATGTAGTTGCGCTCACCCTCATTATCCATGTTGGACCGCACAAAGTCAACGGCATCACTAAGAGCGTTGATGGCAGCAAAGCGGACCTCCATGTTGGGCTCCTCGCGGCGGGCACCCTGGACGACAGCCGTCAGGATGGCATTTGAGTGTTCGATCAAACTCTCACGGAGTTCGGTATCTTGGGAGTCGCAAATATAACCAATAGTTGTGAGGGAGGATTGCTTCAGGGAGTCGCTACCGCTCGCCACGTTCTGGACGAGAATGTTCATCAGGTCGGGCCACTCCTTGCGGGGCAGCTCGATGGCCGCAATGGAAACGATCAAAGTGGCGGCGGCATTTCCGGACTGGGTGTTGGTGGAGTGGAGGGTCTTCAGGGCGAGCTCCTTGACCTGAGTCTTGGTCTCGGGGTTGATCTGTTGAATCCATCGCTGTTGCACCTCACGCAGCTTAGCCTGGTCTCGGAAGGTGAAGGCGTTCTTCAAGGCGATACCGGCGGCAACACGAATATGGGCAGGGCTCTCATCGTTGGCCAGTTCTTGACCTAGAGTGATAAGATAGGCGGCCTAAAAAAATAGAGACGATGCGCGTTAGCGGGTCGTTGGGAAGGTCGAGGGGAGGTCGCAGCTGTCTCGCGATGACACCTAGAACGCAAGGAACAGGACAAAGCAAGAAAGATGAAAGAGTATCACATACAAAGTCAACCTCGGCCGCGTGGGCGAGCTGCTGCTCAGCATTGGTACGCTCCGCCGCATCTGCGGGAGAAAGAGAAAACACGGTCAGCGAGGGGTTCCCGCACACAGTCGACTTCGAGGGCACACGACGAGGGCATCATGTGTCCGTCAAAGAAAAGGGAAGAGGGGTATCGTGGAATCCATACCTGGCGCGAGGGTACTCTGCAGCACCTGACGAGCATCCATGATGTCTGTAAAAAAGGAAACACCGCGAGAAGGGTCACGATGTGGGGGTAAAGGGAGGAGAGAGAAAAAAGGAAAAAGAAAAAGAAAGGTGGAGAAGAAGGTGATCAGAACCCTCTAAGCCTGGGGAAGTATAAGGGATCGAACCAGGCACAAAATCAGCAACCACGGGGTACAGCAGATGTGGTGACAGTTCAGAATCCCTGGAGTGGTAGGTGGGTGGGAAAGGACGGGGTGTTTTTGTGGATATGACGAGGCATGCACCAAAGCCGGGAAGCGTCGAGGGGATAAAGGTTCCTTTGGGGCGCAACGATGGCCTAGGTCGAAGGAAATCGGCGGGGAGGGGCCGTGAGAATGAAAGATATGGTCTCTTGTTAAAGAGGGAGTAATGAAGCCAGAGGCAAGATCAAAGACAGAATTCGACGACAGAAGGCGGCCCGGGGGGGATGTGAGGTCAGTGAGAGACTGGCGCTGATTGGCTAGCGAGTGATGAGGTAAGCCAACAGCCACAGCGCAAATCTAAACGAAGGGTTGATCTTTGAACTTGGGAATATAAAATATTTGGATTTCGCCGTATATCCTACTAGAAACAGAGGGTGTGTACAGATATCTACCGAGGAGTGTTGCTCCTGTCTTGTGGTGCTGGTACACCTCTGTCCACCTCTGTCCACCTCCAGTCTGCTTGTTTTGGTTTTCCTCCTTGAAGCGCACCCACCAGCCAGTGGCCCCAGCGACCGATCCTTTTAGCCCTGTCCACACAAACACCACCTATTTTACTATACTCTCCTAGTGAGGCCCACATCGTTCCTGGTGCCTGAGTTGGGCTGCATGGAAGATCCTAGAATAGTCCCGCATAGCTCACAACAAAAGCAAGGGGCAATCTGGGAATGGCCTCAGCGTACTATGATCCGTTATGACGGAATATCCTATTCATGTTACTACCACTACAGTACCTAATAACTAGTAGTTGTAGCATCGGCCAAACACCATTTCGACAGCTGTCATCAACCGATTGGGTCTGGTGTTCATTTCAAATTCTAATGAGTTTTTCTTCTTCTCGTACAAAGAAAAGTGGATCTGCTCTCTTTTACTTCAAAGGCAAAAGCAATATGGACATGACAAAGGCCCACAGCCCCAGGGCTGTTCAGGGGTTGAATCCTTTGACCAGGCAGAACCTGAAATAGAACCGTAGTACCTATTGGTACTTTTGTAAAGGGACCAGGCTGGGCAAATAACAGAACAACGAAGAGGCAAACCTTGGAAATTATTAAGAGAGAAGACAAGAGAAGAAAGAATAGGACAATGACCAGTTAGATCTACCGTTAATCGTCCATTTTATAGTAGCTGCTAGGCCCGAGTATCTGAATCCGAACCCCATCAGCTCTCAGTAGCTTCCTCTCCCCCTTCTTGCTCCTCCTCCCACTCCTCCACCTCAACATCCAAATCCAACACATCGTATCGCATCCCATCTCCATAAAGTATACAAACTGCGCGCCGGCCTTGTCGCCCATTAACATCCAGCCTTACTGGCCTTGCCTTGGAACCAGACGGCGCAAAAACATGTTTGATAGCGCCTGTCTCTATCAGAGAAGACAGCTCGAATTGAGCGACGGGAACGGGAGGCTTGGAAGTGGTGGGGGAGGTTTCACACTCGACATAATCGAGTCCTAGAGCGGGGGAGTCCGCCTTTCCATATTTAGCTTGGAAGGAAAAGCTGAGTAGGTAGCAACGCTCTGATGAAAAGTTAGCATCTAAAATCCCTAGCAAAGGAGATGAAAGATGTGTTTACCTTCACTAGACCACAGTGCTATGATTGTATCATCATCGACAAACTGCAGTTGTCGGATTTCGCCCTGTTGGAGCGAAATGGCTGTGACAGATGTGCTGCGAGTGGAACTAACACCATTGACGGAGTCGAGAATTGTGCGGTAGATGTAGAATGACTCTTTGGAACTGCCCGATCGGCTAGCAGTGTAGATAGAACAAGGGCGTTTCTCCTCGGAATCTTCGTAGCGAATCTTCAAATCAAGAACATTTGGATCGCAGTCCGAATGCAATGTAAGCGGTGACCGATGCAGAAATCCCTCTCCGCTGCGTCAATGCAATTTCCGCAAAGACCTTCTCAAACTGGATACCAAGTCGCTTTGTCAAATCATTCAGTTTAGGGGTATCAACACTTGTCCCATCACCTCCTTCGTTTTGTGCTTTACGCTGCTGCTGGAGGAGTAATTTGAACTCATCGTAGAATGAGCTATCGTGCCCATCTGGAAGCCATTTATCTGTTAATGGAGTTGGCATCATCGGTACGCCAATCATAGGTAATTGGCGGATGAAGTTTCGCAGGGCGCTTTTCTGCAGCGCACCCGTGATGTAGTTCACCGTGGGCGGGACTTCGAACAGCTCTCGCTTTTCGAGATTTTCTTCCAATGTTTGCGACAGGGGTTCACTGTTTAGGATTTCAATCTCATGGCGAAGCCACCTCGAGAATGCGGAAAATTGAACTAGCTCTTCGTTGGCGTGGTTAAGGATGCGATGGGCGAGAAGGTGAAGACAATCTAAGGTCTCGACAATGCCTTTCAACTTCTGTGTGTCCAATCCGAGCACATCGCTGAGTTTGTGGAACTTTGACAGTCCTACCAGCCGGCTAAGGAGGACCTGACTTCGCTCCAATGCTGGAAGGAGGCATTCATGTGTCAACCGGCGGATATTCTCGTAGCCTCCGGCAACAGCTTTATCCCATCGCTTGTGGCCCTATCTTTAGGTTAGTCAATGTATTTCATCTTGACGGTACAAAATACATACTCTGTCTCCAACAATATCCACCAAAAACTCCTTCATCGGCTCAAAGCAATGTCCAGTAACAACCAGGTGGTAGATAGCTGTCACGAAATCACATTGACATTGATCCTGAAGATCTTGGTTCACACTTCGCAAGAAACGCGCGGGTAATTCTTGAGCATTCTTCCACTCCATTTCAATCTGACGCTGAACTTGTCCAATGTACCGAAGCAAATTCTGAAGCTGGGTCGTTTTTGACGCAAGGAGTGAAAGATATCGCCCAGACTTCGTGATGAAGCGCAAGTCAAGGGTGACAATGCTTAGCGGTGATGAAGAGTCCCCTGTAGTGGTCGATACTACCAGAGCATGGGTTGAACTCAAAGGGTGACAGGCATGGCGAAGAATATGACACGATTTCATTTGTGGTGTCGAGGTGCCCACGGGAAATGAGCCGATCTCGAAACAGTCGAAGATGCGCAGATGAACACTCCCATCATCGAAGCCAATGAAGAGGACGTCCACCGAGTCGCTGGCATCTTTCGCGTAAGAGTGGAATATAGCATCGATGGAGGCGCGTGAGCTGAAGAGATCATCTTCCGCCCCCGTTGCAGGCAAGGTGCTCAACTTGGGCAATGAGCTTTCGATGTCAAGCAATGCCAACTCCCGAGGTAGGTCAGCTTTCAGCAGAGCTGCAGCTTTGGACGGATGAATTCCTGGAGTTAATAGGTCATCCACGGAGACCTGGCCAGTGGAGTCTTGAAAATGCTTCTGGGCAGCTTTACTATCGGTGAAGTTCATACCCCAGCCTAGACATGTCACCTTTGGAGCTGGCTGCTGGCCAGGGGAGGAGAACTCCTCGCTTGGTTTATGATGTGCCAGGTAATGATGAACTGTCTTTCCGCTGTAAGCACTGAGGATGCGCAGAGATCCATCTCCACAGGCGACAGCGAGAAGACGGCCTATTACAACATTAGACAAAGTTGTTCTCAGAATCGGCTTGTCCAAGTCTCGATCCGTGTAGATGGACATGGCGATGTCACCGTGAAAAAGGTTACTCACCGTTACCCTTCCACGCTAATGCTCTCACCTCCCCGTCTTCCTCATCATCGCCAAGGTAGGGGTCGCCTCCAAACGAACCACCGAAGACGTGCTGTCCATTCAAGCGGAATACTCGCAGCTCCTCGTCGTCGGTCGCCAGGGCGATGAGGTCCATCGAGGGACAGTACGCCAGGGTGCTGGCTTTACATTTTGCCGGCAGGGATTGCTCCCCGACCGGCGTGAGCTGAGGGCCCTTTTCTGCCATATTTTCTGTATCGAATAGGCGGCGGTTTTCAACCCATACTTTTCTGGTATTAGTATTTTCGCTGCGCTGTCGCGGTCTTCGTTTGTTGTTGGCGGAGTGGGAGAGTCGCGGCGGACTCAGCGGATTCTTGGCGCGTGTTTTGTGGGCGGCCGTGAGTGACCACTGACGAGCAATCAACAATTTGTCGATGCGACAATCACATCAAGAGCCAAATACTACTACCTCTCATACCAGCCTAGGTAGAAGTACCTAGGTATGAAAGATCAGTATCAAACTTGGATTAAAATTTTACAGTATGCTTACTAGTAGTATCATTAAACCAAGGCACATATGTTGTTCGTGTTCATAGTTCCATTGTACGATGCTATGCTAATATGTCTATTGAAAGTGGTACAAGCACCCGGTGACCAGCACCTGGGTTGCTGAATAGCGAATGTATTTAGAAAGGTTCTCCATCCATATCGGACTGGATCATGTTCTTGAGATAGCTGAGCTCATCCATCAGCTCCTGCATGGTTCTCTTGCCCTGGGAGGAGCCATCCCGAGATCGAGATCGGACTCTCTCGATAGCATCCCGATGCTGCTGGCTTTCCCTTTCTGGGAGAATAATTGGAGACCCGTCGGGACTTCTTCGCGACAAAGAAAGGGCTTCCATCGATTCGATTGCGCTAAACAGGGCTGCGTGACGCTTGGGGTTGCTTTCAACCTCGTCCATTTGATCAATCCCCAGGCCAGAGCCTTGGAGACCAGGAGATGCCAACGAGATGGCGAGTTCGGGAAGTGACTCGTTCCATGGCGGGAGCTCGCCGGAAGCGGAGTTCGGCGATGATGGTTTAGAGTGAACGGTGAGATGGGGGGTGTTGGGATCGGTGTTGGTCATTGCGTCATTGGACGACAATTCTGGCGTTCTCCAGTCATCTACGGCTGGCGACTCGTTGAAGTCTTGATTGAATGTTGACGCAGAGATCATTGACTCGGGTGAATTGTCTTCGGCTTCGGTGTCGGTGTCGGTGCTCCATTCAGAAAAGCGACTCTGCTCAGGAACGAAACGGGAGTTGGTGGCATCGTCTGCCGTGGTTGCTGTCATGCTAGAAAAGTGGCTGCGCTGAACCTCTGAATCCATGACTCTGTCGTGATCATCAATCTCGCGTACGGCCTCGTCCATCACAGAAGAAGGTGTGTTGGGAAGCGTTGGCAGTCTCTTGTCACCGACATCCTTTCCGGTAGGCGTAGTCTGATCACTACCTGGGTTGCTTGCGATAAATTCCAGAGCGTCCTTGAGCGCGCGTGTTTCATCCACTGTTCCCAGATTGTTACCTGCTGCCGCGCCTCTTGAGGGGCTTGGCTTGCGAGGCTGAGGGCGTGTTTGCACTGTGAGTAGATTTAGTGCCTGGGCATCGCCGCCCTTTGCTTTAAGCGCCCGGCGACTTTGGATTGTCGAGAACTCAGGGATATTCGCTACCGGGGAGGCGGCTCCAGTGTTGATGTTAATTCCGGGGACCTTTCGGCGATCACCAGTGCCCCCGTCATGTCGGAGAACTCCGTTGACCGTCTTAGATCTTGGCAAAGGTGAGATCTGTCCTTGACCTTCTGACTCATTGGCAGGCCGGAATGCTGCAAGAAGAGCGCGAGCTCGTGGTGGGGATGCAGAGCGTGCGTCCTTTGAATGGTAGCCCCTGGCGCTGCCCGGCTGTGATGCACTCCTATGCACCATTCCGGGAATTGGCGAGGTACTTTGCGAATGTACAGCCGGGGGCTGGTTGCGAGGCATGGCAGTTTGCAGGCGTGCGGGGATCGGTTGGGGTGGTTTGCGTGGGTTCATAAACTTGTCTTCCGGGTTCATGGTTCGATAGTCGGCCTTTTGCGAACTGTTGCTGCCAGTGCGGCCGTGGGATCGACTATCAGGCAGAACGATAGGGACATTCAAGACATTCACAGGCTGTCCCGGGAGAAGGGGGCATTTGGTCGTCACCGGCTCGTTTTCATTAATGGATTCTATGTCATCATCCAGCAAATACTGATTCTTTTAGTTAGCTCTTTTCCCGGCCCAAAGATGATCTGTAGTCATGACTCACATAATACCAGTACGTAGCACCCATTTTAAGCCCACCGGTCCGCCATTGGGATTGTTCACCTGACGAGCCTCCGGGACCATCGCCCATGATATCGGTGAAGGTGTGGCATCCTTTCCAGTGACCCGCACCGGCGCGCTTATCCCTGTCCATGACATATTGCTTCGTGAAATTGTCCCATGATCCTAGCAGCTTGACCGACCGGGTTTCGGGGTTGGTATTTCTGGTCTCGATGTCAATCACAGGTGTAGATGGGTTGGAACACTCAGACTTACAGTAAGAAAGTCATGAGGGTAGTCGATATCATCGCACGATGGCGATCGCTCAGAAAAGAGAAGTAGGCAAAGATGGCAGCAAATGCAAAGACCGAATCGCGAATAAATGCAAGAAAAATGCTATGACGAATGGAGAGAAATGGAGAAAGAGAGGCACGCCAAAGGATCAAAAAAGAAAGCAGACCCAATATAGTACAGAGAACAATGCAATGCAATGCAACGAGTGATTAGATGAAGGGGACGAGATGTTGAGAAAACGATAGATTCTCGAACAAGACCAAAGAAAAAGGAATGCAAAAGGAATGGAAGAAAATAGAGACCGTGAAAGCAAATCGAGCAGGGAGACCGACGAGGCGGAATATAAGGTGCGACAGAGCCCAGCCCGGAATAATAAACAAAGCTGTTTCTATAATTACAGCCCCGGTAGCACGCCAGGCGTAAAAAGCACGCAGGTACACGCTGTACCTGTTTCAGAAGGGGTGATTGACAGGTCTAAGAATAAACGGGTCGTTCGAGGAATGTTTCGGGCAGCGCCGCAGAGACAACAGCCATGGCCCAGCCCAGATGGGCAGCCCGCAGGAAAATGCGACGCGAATGCTTCAGGAAGCGCGGCGGGTGGAGGTTGGCAATTTCCCATTTTCCCCAAGCACACTTCTCAGGGCAACAAGAGGGACCAATGGGCGCGAGCGAAGGCGAAGCGCTGGGGGTTTCCTGGGACCAGGGTACGGCGCTTCGACCGGGGTTGGGGTGGCGTCGAAGGTGTGAATTGTTGTGTCGGGGAATTTGTGATGGTTCTAGCCCCGGGTGAAAGTACAGATGATTGTGTACTCCGTATCCCGGATGGTAGGCCGGTGATGACAATGAGAGGAGGGGAAGAGAGGAAGTGGCAGTATGAAGGAGGAGCAGAGCTTTTTTCTGCGGTGATAAGAGATCGGCGCTGCGGGGATTTTGGTGATGACTTGGATGCCGATCGCGGGAAAATGGCTGATGGCTGAGGGTTGTCCTGTACGGAGGCCACGGAGGACAGAGGACAGAGATAAGTGGAGCTAAGTGAATGGCACAGGCAGAGAGATTAGTTAGGGACCAAGCACCAGCAAAGAGGTGGAAAGGGGCAATGCCAATATGAAGAAAGATTGCCATCTACACGCGTGTTGGGTGAACCACGGTACCAATCTCCACGCTGCAAGGTACACTGAGTACTACTGTATACTCGTACTCTCGTACTCTCCATCACCCCACTACAATAGCCCAGTAACGCCACCATCCGGCATCGCGCAAGTTAGATCTGCAGAGGTAAGGGCGCGTCATGAAGTGGCTTTCCCCTGATGCAAGTGTGAAGTGCCGATCACTCATTCCATTGGCTCCTCACTTGCGTTCGGCCAAGAACCACTCCACTCGGTTCCTGCGGCGGCGGCAGATGATACGTTGGTTTCGGCCTTGGCCTTGGCCTAAAGGGCTGACACAAACTTCACCCAAGGTCATACCATGGTCATCGGGTATAAAGAGGCGAGGGGAAATGAGTACGAGTATTCGTAGGTTATGTTCTCGTCGTCGTCGAACTCCTCATATCCAAGGATTGGACCTCTCGACTGCAAAGGGGAAAAAGAAGAGCAAAAAACTCAAGCCGGGGACTAGTGATGGAGCTGCCCCAGTCGAAATTGTGGTGATCTCAAAAAATGAGATAAGATGAATCGGGTGCGAAGGACGGGAGTACCACATGGCACATAAGGTACTACTCCATAGACCTTACCTATATTGTCGATAGTCCCATTTCTCCCACAGAGTACGGGTATTCTATTCTACGGACTACACTCTCAACCTACGGTTCCTATGTGGAGGGTTACAATCCATAGCTACTAGTAGACACCATAATATTCCTACTGAGTTGGTGCCCCTCTCACTATTTGAGTCTAAACAGTCGGTGAGTACGGAGTATGGAGAAGCAACCACCACAAAGTATCGAGCTTTAATTTCGCCCAACATCCACTTCACCGGACGAGGTCCGGGCGGCGCAGTGACCAATGATCGTCGCCCAAAATTGGCAGATGCTGTACAGCCTACGAGCAAGGATCGTAGCCTCGTGAGATGATTTGCAATATCGGTGAAAAATGCGATAAATTATTCAAAACCGGCCACCATGCTAGCTACCCTTCCAACCTCAACACCAAAGAAATTCTATCAAGAGCCCAGCTCGGTCCAGTCAAATCCAGTGAATAAAACGTAGAAAGAAAGAAAAAATGGAAAAGAAAATAAGGGGAAAGGCCAAACTGTATCGTTCTAAATCTGTCGTCGATCTAACTTCTTGTTCACAGCCCCAAGTACACACTTCAAGATGCCCTCCGCATCCAACGACTGACCCCTCTTCCCTTTCCAGGGCACAGTATCAACGATATCCCGCAGACGTTCATGACTGCAATATTTGCCAAGATCATCGTCGAGCTCCTGCAAATATCGCTGCACTCTTTGATCGTCGCCAATCTGGAAGAATTGAATGCCCACCTGCCACGGTAACGCATTGCATCGTGGGTGATCTAGCGTCCTAGCCACCTGCACAATGACACTCTCAGCATCATCCGTGAACTCGCCATCTGTAATTGCAATGATATTGATCGGTTTGACCAGCATCGAGGGGTCACGCAGAGACCCGTCGGCGTTCCGCGAGGCTTGCATCATCTCCACGCGATGGAGGTAGGGGGGTCAAGATCTCTAGCAGGCGTTTACCCACAGGTGTGGAACCGCGAGGTCGGACACTATTGAAGATCTCTTGGACATCGTCGGCTGTGGTGATGTTCGTGTAAGCGCCGGTCGTGTTGGCTGTTGCTGCGCGGCGGTGGTTCAGGAAGTAGACATCGATTCCGTCGTGGTCATATTGAGTGCAAATGGGGGCAATGGCAGCGATGGCCTCTTCGGCTTCGCGCCAGCGCGGCCCGCTCATGCTAGAACTGTCATCCACGAGAAATATTGTGTCGAAGTCTTTGAGGAAGGCGTATCGGGAGTCAAAGTCACAGCCTGAGCTGTTCGTTACGGTGGGGGCCTTCCAATCTTGTGAGTCGTAGGCTGGTGGGTCCCATGCTGCGACCTTCTTAGAGGGTTTTCGCATCATTGCGAATAGCTTATTATCGCGTAGTCGGGTGCGCGGTGAAGTATTGTTGTTACCCATTGACGGCATATCCCGGGTGGTGGTGTACAACGTTGATTGGCGGGGATTATCTCTTTGACTGGAGGGGAAGGAAGACCATAATGGTGGAGGTGTGGATTTTTCAAAATAGGGCATGATGAGGATGTTCAAGACCCGTAGTTCAGTGTTGTAATTCGTATGATGCAAAGAGGATGCAATAAGTAGGAAGTGTGGTAAGGTTTCGAGGTTCCACAGTTGTATTTGAATGATACTACCGACAAAGAAAACGGTGATTGTCAATGTCTCTCTTTATATTGGAGATGATTCTTTCAAACGATATTGTGGAGTCATTGCATTCAGGTCTAACCGGCAATAACTACATAGTAAGGCGATATTATGGAGCACAAGGCTCACAGGGCTGGGTTTGCTTTCACAACTCTATGCCCGAACAACAGCCCAGGCCATGGGTGCTTACAGGGCTAGTGTGCGGGGTTAGGAAACAAACACATGCCTAAGTCTCCCGAGGCAGAAATCGTGTCAGGTCTTTCAAGTTGTGTTTGATAGGCTCTTTCGTTTATGACAACGGAGCTACAGATCCTGGCGCTAGGCAGTCAGGCTATGGCGGGGTAAGACTGCCTGCTGTAACTCTATTGAATTAGTAGGGCGTTTGTTAGATTAATCCCTGGCGCTCCGCCTCTAATAAGCAACTCAGACAGAATCAGACGGGGATCCACACAGGACGCTCTTTGCGTGTTGCGGCATTCCATTGGGCTGTGCTATACCACTCCGCCCCAACCACCCTGGCGAATGAAGGCGCAGCATAGATTGTAATGCGGGACATCGCGCAATAGTAAAGTCGGTTTTTGGAAAAAATAGTGCCAAACTATGATTTCATAATCCATCTAGTGGGGAAAATATAAGCAATAAGAGAATAGAGGGAAAACAAAGAATTATCTGGTTACTGCCAGTCCATATGTGTCATAATCATTATCCATGCATGCCATCGAACGCCCTGCCTATTTAGTGTGCTCCTCCCATTTCCGAACTGCGCCCCACAACCCGAGAGACAGCCAATCAGTATTATAAAGGAATGAAGTTTGTTTGTTCCAGAAGCGTCAGAAATCTGCCTCAGATGCAGGAATATCCTCATAGGGCATATCGAGCAGCGCCACAGGGTCCTTTTGGGTTGAGCTCGCTATCGAGACATCCTGGCTAGGCACTCCATCCTCAAAATGAAGGACGCCCGGGTCTGCGGCGACCATATCCATCAAAGCAAGGGCCTGGTCGATACCCATCGCGTTTCCAATCATCTTAAGGGCATCCACAACCCACCGACGGAGGGAATGACTAGGGTTCTCGACCACACCAGCCAAGAACAGCGGCCAAAGCAACGTCAGCCCACCCAGGTAACTCTCCGGAGGTGGGCAATTAGGAGAGGCGTCTTTTTGGTGTGCACCCAGGTGATAAGGCACACTCCGACAAATATCAACGGCCAGGCGCCAGATGGTGGCTCGAATATTCTTGCAGTGAACCTGGAATTCGTCCGACATTTCGAGCTTGGAGCTGTCTGAAATTTTCCACATATGAGAGAGTATCAGTTCGCTGACGATGATACGCGCACAGCGATACTGGTTCCATACGTTGCAAACCCAGAAATTTGGGTAGACGTGATATTTGTCGTCAAAGGGGCGAAGGCCTCGGCAGCGTTCTTGGAAGAGAAAATCATAAGGAGATTTAGTGAGGGTTTCATAGGAGAGACTAGGTGGAAGTGCCGCCAACCAGGCAACTATTTCCGCCTCAATGGCCGATGCTGCTGCAATGATGTCCTGGTCGTCGGTGAGGATTTTGAGCTGGATATCTGCTCGCAGATTGGACAGTTTGCCAATAAGAATAATCAACTTATTACTGTAGGCTTCTCCTGGTCGCAAGAGCATGGACAACTTTGTACATTCCATGAGTGATTCGGGTACGTGACAATCCCGCTGTATGCAACTGATGATCTGCACGGTTATCTGATTAGCGTTGTAACGGACGAGATGATATGTAAACAAGGGGACGCACAATTTGATATCTTAAATGCAGAAAAAGACGAATGCCAGCTTCGGTCTTAAGTTGATCAGTGCCTCGCAAGTCGAGTAAAGCAGTGGCGCCAGATATGTGGTTTGTCCATAAAGCGATATCCCGTGGGGCACGTGCTGTGACAAGCTGTTGAAGGAGAAGAAGAAAGAGTTAGATCTGCAAGTCATTCGACAGGGATCGCAATGTCTTACCTCATATATAGCAAGCAGCACAACAGCCCCCAATGCTTGATTGGTTTTGGCTTCTTCTGTATCCGCAAGGGCTATATTGAGAAGGTTTAAGGCATTGACGTATTCCTTCCTCGCCACATCTCGAAGAGGGGTCATCTTCCTCACGCGGCAAAGCATGGCCGATGCGACAGCGGTCATACTGGCCCGCATCGCTTGGGCACCCACTTGGCTACCGGCCTGCGCCAAGAATTTGGTCACGAAGTCACTCATCCAAAAGCTCCCCGGTATGGCATTGGATCGAAAGAGGAAGCTGATTGCTTCTTCCTGCGAGGGTATGCTAACCGGTTGAACCTCCATGGGGATTTGCCATGGCTGTTGCAACTGCTGTATCAGTGGCCCAGACAGTGGGTCGGCGTTGAAATCGAACAGACTAGTGTAAGACGCCTCTTCCGGAGAGGAGTCCGACTGAGAGTTCCCATCTGGGGAAGCCGTGCGAGGCGATCGCCCAGGGGACTTTTTTGGCCTAGAGGATGAAGAAGCCGACGAAACGGATGTACTTGACCCCGCTGAGGCTTTCTTCACCACTGAACTACTCTCATCGCGAAACATTAGAGATAGCTGATCCCTGTAGCCGGGGCAGTCCCGCTTGGCCCGCACGCATTGCGAACAGGCCGGCCGAACCTGGTCACAGCGAATCTTTCTTGACCGACAGTGACCACATCCTTTGCTTGGTTTGCCGCAGTATACCATGATGAAATGCGACGGCCGTTTTCGTTAGATCCTGAGGCTGAAGAGGGAGGAGTCATGTAATAAGGTGTCGGTAAAGGCCGATTGCACCGCCTCCGCCTCAGACCCGAGCTTGTTGGGGCTAGGCAACGATGTCAGCTGTGCTCATACTACTACATTTCATTACATTCTACATTGACGTCAAACAGCTGCAGATGGTGAGGCTTCTATTATTTACAAATTACAATATTCAAGATGCCATTATACAGTGATCTCTATCTATTTCAGATTTAGCTCCCAATAATTCTCACTCCATGCGAGACTGTTGCATACCCCAACATTTGAAAAGGCGATCGACCTGCTTATGTCATGATACTTATGTCATCTAACTACATCCCCCTCTATTCCAAATTGGGAAACCACTGCGATGAATGGCGCGTTGTCATTGGCTCCTGCCGCCAAAGCTTGGCTGAGTCCGTGGATCCAACGGGCTCAGCGGGTTTGGCGGGCGCAGCCCGATGGGCCAGTTCTTTTCAGTCTTCTAAGAAAATTTTAGATCTTGTAGAGTGGAGGCTTATTTCTCTGACCTTTCCCAATTTGGTGCATTTTGAGAGCTGCTAATTTTTTCTTCGCACAGCCACAGATCGTTCCATTCGAAAAGGGTATGCTTGATGTACAGCTAAAGGATATATAGCGAAATGAATTCGAAGAATCTGTAGCTCTCTATTATCCTTCAACTCATCGCATTCTATAACTTATAACTTGATTCAAGGATTTGGTTCGCTGCCAGTGAAACACTTTTCTCGAGTCAATTCTTTCTGTCACGGTTATTTGGATACTAGTATATTCTTCCCTTCCATCCAGCGAGGTAGCTTCGTCACACGACCAACATGACTGTCACCTATCGCCATGGCATCTCCATTCTCGAACTCCTTATCTACCTGCCCTCCTTTTTCCTCTCGGGCTTCTTGGTCTATCGCCATGGCTTCCGTCAAAATAGCGGGTTTTTATTCATCTTCACGTTTGCGTTGGCCCGGATCGTAGGTGCCTGCTGTGACCTCGCAACAATCGCCCACTATACGTTGGGTCTTTATATCGCCGCCGCCATTTGTATGGCAATTGGACTGTCCCCTCTTATGCTTGCATTGACTGGGTTTCTATCTCGAGCGTAAGCAGCTCCTCCCGCTAAGACTTACTAATAGTACACCGAAAAAACTGTCCACTAACTTGACCAAGAAACCTTTCCATCCAACAAAAAACAGGAAAACTCGCCCTCCCCGAATTCGTCTTCGTTGCCTTCCGTCTTCTCGTCACCGTTGCCATGATCATCAGCATTGTGGGAATCACAGCCAACATGTCTGAAGAAGGCCTCGCACACCCCGATATCAAAGCCAAGATTGGTATGATCCTGTACCTTGTCGCAGGTGGACAGCTCTGCCTCATGACCGCCTTTATGGCCATGCACAAAACATCCATTCAACGCGGGGAGAAGCGAACCGTTCTTGCCGTTGCCATCTCGACGCCATTCATTATGGTCCGTCTAGTATATGCTGCTCTGATCTGGTTCCTTCATGACTCCACTTTCAGCATGATTGGCGGCAATGTCACTGTGCAGCTTGTCATGTCTGTTCTGGAGGAGTTTGCGGTTGTCATAATTTGTCTTGGGGTAGGAATTACCTTGAGCGTACGCAGAAAGAACAATCGTGCCTCTGTGGAAGCTCCCTTGACCGATTATCCTTCCCATTCTAAACCTTAAACTGCGGCCGATGAATGTTTTTCCTTTTCTTTTTTGGTACAATAGAGGACTCGGATTTGTTATATTACCTTTTTGTGTTTCCATAAATTTCTGAAGGCGTTTTATTAAAGGTAAACTTGAAGTCATGATACAATATTAATTACTTCCATTAAAATCATGCTTGTCCAAACCAGAATGAAGTGAAATTTGAACTACAATACTATCCTTATATAGTATCCACCACTCTAATTCTGACTAAATTTGCATCCACGCATCTAGTAGTATACAGTACACATCATGTTAATGATGTTGCCGGGTGGGGCTTTCATTGTTGGTCCTCCGTGAACCCCTTCTTCCGGTCTCTTGAATATATGCATGAAGCATGCCTCCCAAGGCGGATATTATTATGGCATCTGGGGAAACACCGCTTCCTTGTATCGCGGCGTGAGCAGACTATCCCATCGGAAGTGTCCCACTCGGTTTCTCTACTTCCAAAGCAAGGCTTTTTGGGATGGAAATCATGGCACGGAATGGTGGCGCGGGAAAGATTTCCCAAGTAATGCCCTCGGCATGCCAGGAAGCGACCTTTCAAGTTCCGGAGGCGAGACAGCCCCCGCCTCTTCTGGTCAACTGGGCCCCCAACATATAGACACACTACACAGAACCTGTTTAGAAATGGTATTTTGAAAAACATTTGCAGCCGCCAAAAGACTATAAAAATAGATAAACTCCAGAGTACTGGTCGCAACCAAGTCCTCATTTTTTGTATTTCAAGGCTAATGCGCCTAGCTAATTTGCGAGTAAATCGATGTCATTAAGTCCGCTTATGGGGGGGAGTCTGTATCAGTCTGACGGCCCCGTTTTCTCTTTCCAGTGCTCGTCCCTCCAGGAGGCGATTCCTCTTGGTGTAGAAAACCGCCGCTTCCATCATCATGCCATTCACTGACCTCCCACTCTATTGAAGTAGACTGATCATCACTCACGCCCATACCTCGTCGAGACCGCATCAAGCGGCCTAGACGGCTGCCTTCGACCATCTCCTCAAACCAGGGAATACCACCAGCTCTGCCGTGCTGAAAGTTCCGCGAAATATGACCCGGGTCGGTGAAAGAAGGTATAACAACCGATGAAGTGCCCAGGGACGGTGTAATAGCAGAGCCAGAAATCTCCGCTTCAACCTCGTCTTCATCTTCGTCTGAGTCTGAGTCCCCAGGGAGAAGATTGAGATCTTCCAGTGCCCGCTGATCTTCTCCGAACAGACTTCCAATAGCCACCGACATGAAATTGGCTTCTTCGCGAGGTTCCTCAGTCCAGACAGTCAATGGGGTTCCGCAAAAGCCGCAGAACACGCGCTGTATTTCAGGTGCATGGCGAGGTGAAAAAGAACGGCGAATTGAAGCGTGTGTTTCATCGGGGAAGAATGACTCCGTATGCGAATTGTACCAGGCTAAGGGTACCCGGAGCCATGCAGTAAGTGGGGTACCGTGGAATCGACCTGTCATTCGTAATCAGCAAGGCAAACAAACGGTGAGGTTGTAGATGTATACTGGGGTATAGTACTTACGATTTTCTCGGCTGCTGTCAAAATACACTTCAGCATGGTCTGTCACATCCTCAGGAATAGAAATCCTGTATTGGTTGCGCCCGCAGGAGCATGATCCATGTAGAGACTCGTGGGCCATAGTCGTACAGTTGTACAAGGCGCCGCTAGACCGGGCGAGATCGATGCCGAGGTTTGGGCCAGGCGATGAGATAGAGAGACAAAGTTGATTTTTGGGATGGCCAATTGACAGGTGATGATGAGCTGAGGTTGGATTTCTCAGAGCTTCGTGGGTAGATTTGGGAAAGAAAAAAGAAAGGAAAAAGGCGAAGCAGGGTGCTCGGTGGAGCCTCTCTATGACGTTGAAGAGTGCCAAGACCCAGCGACTCGAGTTGCTCTTCTCCGCATTGGCCGGATTGGGCCTGACTGGGCCTATCGGTTCGGCTTCTCCGTTCTTCCTCTCCAACCATCTTCCCGACAACTGCCTGGGAGAACCACACATTCACTTTCGACAGGCACTGTACTTTACGCCAGACAGAACCGAGAAGCCCGGAACTACGATCTGCGACGATTTATCAACTGCATTATCTCTCATCGGACTCCGCACTAGTACCAGAATGAACCCCGAGATGGACGACGACCGGTCGTCTTCGACCCCAACCGCCGCATCGAAGTCGGTCTCTGGCCAGGATAAAGAGAAGCCCCGCTTGACTGATCAAGAGAAGAAGAATAACCACATTGCCTCCGAGCAGAAACGCCGCGCCGCGATTCGCGAAGGCTTCGATCGGTTAACAGAACTGGTGCCTGGACTTGAGGGGCAGGGCCGCAGCGAGAGTATCGTGTTGCAAAAGACCGTCGACTTCATTCACCTGCAGCTGCAAGAACGTCACAACCTCATCGCTGAGATTGAGAACAAAGGAGGCCGAGTGGATGATTCTTTCCGGCCAACATAATCCAGTGCATGCTCATTAATTATCCTATCTCCATCCATCGTCTTTGCGCTTCATCTTCTCCGACCCGTGATTCTCATGATGGACCGAGGCCTACAAAGCTGTCACTCCCAGACAGCAACAATGAACCATATTCACGAATGTATCACACACGAATCTCTTTCGCTTCTCTCGACTCCTTGGCCCCGGCAACCCGATGAACGGCGATTTTCTTTTTTTGCCATGAGGGGAGACTTCATTCAATGCATGTTGCTTGAATCGACGACACGCCCACTCTACTCAGCCTCCGCGACACCGCTGGCCGGGTCACTTGGAATGGCTTTGTGCTTTAGTTGTGGGGGATCCTTATCTTTCTTTTTGTTCATGTCTTATTTGTACATTTTTGGCACACCATTTTCAATGGTGAAGCCCAGACATCAGACTGTATTTGACTACGCACAGGGCCGTTTGTTCCGAAAATCGATTCACAGTTCAATGGCATATTGTAATCCACGCAGAATGATTTTTTCTGTGGAATCCTGGGGGGGGATCCAGGGACCCTCGGTGCGCCCAACCGAGGGAGATCGATCACGTGTAGTAACCTCGGTGCATTCTCGGCTTTACCTACTGGTTCAGTAATTGAGGAGGACCTTAAATTAGGGAATGCTTGGAAAGATCTTGTTTCTAAAAAGATACTCCGCAGTGACAACTACAATTTAAGGCTTCAATTGGAGAGTGACCTTTGACCATGCTTGAAAATATATGGGACCCGTGGTTATCCCGGTTGATCCGATTATTGGGTCGTGCCGCAAAAGGCGAGATTCCATGGGCAAATTATCCTGGTAGCTGTAGACGAGTAGATTGGAGAAGTAGGAAAGGATTCAGTCTATCTGGTGGGGCATGGCACTGTATTGATTGAATTGGGGGCAGCTTGATCCTAATACTAATTAAGATAGATGGTTGAGTCGAGATATGGAATACTATACGTCACATACTACGTACACTATAGGTCACCAGTATCGTCCATTGGAAAAAGTCGCATATACATATGCATCCCTTCCAGAATACCATAACAGTTCCAATTTCGACATTTGATCAATCACAAATATGATTACGCGCGATGTACACCTCTCCCCCTCAACCAGTAAAGAAATAGAAATGAGTCAGTGGGGAACTGCGGCAGGACAGCCACGCCGCAATCTACCCACTCCGGACCACCAAGCACCACCACCACCTCCAACAAGAACCCTTCACCCTCATTCTCTCATTCAAAAGCATAACAAAAAATGTCCGACTCCAAAGACAACCTCTTAACCACCAACAATGAACCCAACGACCCACCACCAGCCTACGACAGCCAAACCAGGCCGAGCCGCGGGCACCCCTCCCCCGCCCACCACCACTCTCCCTGCCCGTTCTAAACGACCTCCGCAAGAGAAGAGTGATCCTAGCCTCTCAATCCCCGCGCAGGAAACAAATAATTTCCTTCCTGGGCCTACCGAACATCGAAATCATCCCCTCAAACGCAGAAGAGAATCTCCCCAAATCCCTCACCCCATTCGAGTACGTCCTCGGCACTGCAACAAAAAAGGCCCGAGCCGTCTACGCCCAAGAAGTCGATAACGAAGAAAAGGGCGAACCCGCCCTCATCCTCGCAGCTGATACCGTCGTCGTCGACACCACTTCCGGGTCGATCCTCGAGAAACCCCGCTCCGAGGCTCACCATGTCACCATGCTGCGCGCACTGAGAGATGCGCGCGATCACAAGGTCTACACGGCGCTAGTAGCCATGGCTCCGCTGCAAAGTGCGCGGCAACCGGGATATGCGCTGGAGAGCTTTGTCGAGGAGACTTCCGTGCGTTTTGATGGGGAGGTGTCGGATGATTTGATCTTGGCTTATGTGCGGACGCGCGAGGGCGCGGATAAAGCGGGTGGGTATGGATTGCAAGGGTTGGGATCGATTCTCGTGGAGAAGATTGAGGGGTCGTATGATAATGTGATTGGGTTGCCTCTTAAGGCTACATTGAATATTATTCAAAAGGTTATGAACATGGCGAATGATGAAGATCGCTTGGAGGGTGATCCTATTCTCGAAGAGGATGAGGAAGATTCGGAATGAGAGATTATCTTGTCATGGACTAGATATGAAAAAGGGTTTCTTTTCTGAGATAGATCAATATACCTGAGTGTCTTTTCTTTTCTTTTTCAACTTTCTTTCCAATGTTGCTCTTTTATTACTTTTTTACTACTCGTACGGAATCCAAATATGATAAGAAATGAGGTAATGCTGCTGGTACAGAAGTGATACTATTTCCCATGGGAAACGAGAGATTTGAGCACCGACACAAGTCGGACAGAGACAAATGAGAAGAAAAACAGGTTGACATATACATAGGCGGAACGCCTGGACCAGAGACAAAAGAAACACGAAACACCCTTTTCAAATGACGACAATGAAAACGCTCTATGCGTTCCAGATACGACGCAGGGCCTCGGTGATACCCACATCGTTGGTCTCGAACTCATACAGACCGACGGCGGTGGTCAGAGTGAAGGCGCGCAGGAGCCAGTTGCAGAGAGAGTTGAACTTGGGAACACGCTGAGGACGGAAGTAATCGATGATGGCGGCCCTGGTAGAGTGTTAGGAGTGCGTGTCGGAGGAATCGGAAATTTGAGGATTGAGCTTACTGGAATCCAACGTGGGAGTGGGCGACCAAGAGGGAGCAAAGGACGGCGTCCATGACCGGGTTGAGGGAGCCAGCGGCGAAGGGAGCGATGGAGAGGGGGATCAGACCGACGCAGACGGCGCTGTGAGAATGTTAGTGATTTCGGAATCTCTAGAGGACTGTTCATGCGTTGCTGCACTAGGGGGGTGACGTACCGCTCGAATGTCCAGTGGTAGCTTCCCTCAGAGGGGTGAGGGCTGGGGACGGGAACGGGGTCGTTCACTATCACGGCGGGTCAGTATGCGGTCCAATCGATATGGTGACACCCAATCCTTCGCTGATCTCGCTAGAAAGCCTTTAGGAGACGTATTATATCGGTATACGGGAGTCCGGTGGGCTTGGAGCTTGAGAAATGCGAGGAGATGGGCGTCAAGGTTCGAACTCGGATCGACAAAACGTACTGGTTCCCTGGATGGTCTCTGCATGGCGGATAGAGAGTTAGCGGGCACATTTTGAATCATCGGATAGAACTCCCAATTCGTCTGAAGCACATTTGTACCACCAGATATCTCTTAGGGTCCTCTTGGGGTCTCAACGTACGCGGCAACGGAGGCAGGATCTGCTTCTTTGCGGAAGCGTGGAAGGCGACGGCCTGCGAAACGCCAACATTCTGGCGGAGAAGAGGCGACCGAGTTGCAAGGGTCTGCCGGAGCAGAGATGGGCGCGCAAATGAGGCCATTGTGACGAGTTGGAGTGGTGAGGGTCGAAGTTGGTCGCTCGCACAAGGATGAAGTTCAAGTTGCCTCGGGAGTCCGACCGGTAACTCGCCCATCCACTGTCATCGTACTTCTCAGTCAGGTGATTGGTCGACGGCTTCCCGCTCAGCCGAATTTGGCCGATGCGAGAACATTTAGCCACCGACTACACTACTCGTACTAGTACACCTATTTTCAAGGGTCTCTTTGTCTTTAAAAATATAATGATGTTGATGTATTTACGTGGAATTTATCCGGCTTGAATATACGCAGTCAAATTATAGCTAACCCTTGCTAGACATGATTTCCTTCTCTTCAATGTTGCACTCAGGCAATAACCGAACCATCCCGAAGCTCTAGTCAGCTACTACTACTGAATCGAACCGGGCCTTTTTTTTTTATAGAAAAAGTAGAAAAAGTTTGTTATTGTAAATCCAGTTTCTTTCTCTGGTTTCATTTCATTTCATAACATATATAATAACACCGTTTCCCAATGCTATCGCTAATTTAAAACTTGAGGACAGCCTTGCCCTTGTTCTTGCCGTGGAAGATACCAACCAGGCCCTCAGCTCCGTTATCAATACCAACAGTCTCGTGGATGAGAACCTTGAAGGTACCCTCCTTGATCCACTTCTGCACACGCTCCTGGTGCTCCTTGGTGTAGATATCACCCATGCCGGGGTCACCGACAATGAAGCCGCGCATGGTGAGACGTTTCACGAGGATCTGGTGAATGTTCGTGATGGGGTAAGGAGCGGAGTTATACTGCGAGATCAGACCGCAGGTGACGATGCGGCCGAAGTTGTTGAAGGCATCGAGGGCAGCCTCGAGGTGCTCGCCACCGACGTTCTCATAGTAGATATCAATACCCTCGGGGGCAAGGCGGGCGAGGGCAGCGGAGGGCTTCTCGTTCTTGTAGTTGAAACCGCCATCGAAGCCGAGCTCGTTGATGATATAGTCGAGCTTCTCGTCAGAACCGACGGATCCAATGACGCGCAGACCCTCATGCTTGGCGAGCTGGCCGACCAGCTGGCCGACGGCACCGCTGGCAGCGGAGACAAAGATGGTCTCGCCCTTCTTGGGCTTGCCGATCTCGTAGAGGGAAGAGTAGGCAGTCAGGCCGGGCATACCGAGAGGACCCAGGAAGACGCGGATATCTTCAATTCCGAGGGGGGTTCTCGAGCTTGCGGATGCGAACCAGGTTGGGGGCGTCGAGGGAAACGTATTCCTGGACGGCGACGTGACCGATCACCAGATCTCCCTCCTTGTAGCTGGCATTGTTGGAACGGACGACCTTGGCGATGCTGGCGCTCTCGATGGGCTTGTCGAGGGCAAAGGCGGGGGCGTAGGACTTGACCTCAGCGGGGCGCATGCGGCCACGCATATAAGGGTCGTAGCTGGTATAGAGGGATTGCAGGACGACACCGTTGTCAGGAGCGGCAACATTGGCATCGTACGCAGCGGCCTCGATGGTGAGATCCTGACCGGGGACAGGGTATCCCTGGGGATCTGCTTGAAGACGAGAGCTTTGTTGGACATGACGTAAAAGGTATTATTTTCAAAGTGGGATAGTAGTAGGAGGAGATGATTCGGAAATAATGCTGACTTGAAATTACCGTACAACGTTGGGGTTTTGGATTTATATAGGAAGACAGGAGGTCAAGGTCAAGGTCAAATCGTCAAGCGGGGCCGTAAAGGGACCGAGGCAGAAGTCTTGATGATTTTCTCCATTAGAAAGCAAAGTCGCCGCTTGCCGATGGGTCCCGGAGAAGCTTCTCGAGAAGGTTATAGTCCAAAGTTCTGACAGACCCACTGTTCTGCATCAGGTTACATAAAATCGACATCATGAAACTGATGACGAGCAAAGATGAATGATGCATCGAATGGTTCATTGTGTACTTTTCTCGACCAAAAATGACCGATGCCGAAGATTCGGTCAAACTTGAATCATCCTAGAGGGACGCCTCCCAACAAAACACGCCACGAGAGCTTGCAAAAAGTTGAATGGCTCCACTGCTGGCCGTGGTGGAGCTCGGATGAATTAAAGAAGAAGCAGGCCGACGGAAGATAGCCATTCTGGGTACGATCACCGGCGGCAAAGACAACGACCAATGCACCCAAAGAATAATGAATAATCAAGAACCCTGACTGATTTCTCAGCACGGAGCAGGTTACCGCATGCGGTCGCGGGGGAGGGGGAGGGAGGGGCACAGTGCAAAGACGATCTGAGCATTCAAGTTCAATTTCCAGATCGAATCTGACCCTCAGCACTTAATCTACTAGGCTCCCGAGGTCAGCTTCGGATTGGTCGTTGCAGAAACTTCCGATCCATCAGTTCATTCATATTATCATGTATTACTGACATGGGGGTATTAACTATGGGGACAACAGATCTGATACTACTGGTAGTACTATTGACATAACGATCACAAGCTCATCGGATGTACATTCATAAAAGTTCAAGTTGATTATTTAGCATGGTATATCGATTAGTCATTCTATCTATCGTCCACTTCATCAGACGGACTCGAGGTATCAAAGAATTAAGTCGCCGCCTCATAATAACATACGTCTCTAGGGTCTTCGTCTCTCTCCCTCTCTCTCTTAAGCCGTTCCTTCCAGTGCACCCGCTGCCTTCGAGATAAAGAAATCCCGACCCTTGATCATCTTGACCATAAAGCTGAAGGGGACCATGCCGAACATTTGTCCAGTGCCTCCACTCTCACCCACCGGGACGACCATCAGGACACTGTCGCCTTGGTCATACGACTGGCGCTCGCCCTTGCCAGCAATGTCTGCTTTGAGGTTGTTGGCCGCGATTTTGGCCTGCTCCATCGTCTTGAAACTCAAACGCATAGAGTTGTTGGTGATGTCGCCGGCAGCGTAAATCTTCTCGACGGACAGAACGCGCAGCTCCTTGTCGACCTTGACCCAGCCATCCTGGTCCAGGAACTGCTCGGGGATGAAGCTGTTGTTAGGCAGGACGCCTGTGGTGGGGATGTAAAGATCCGCGTTGATCTTCTCGCCGTTGCTCAGAGAAACGGTCCAGGAGTTAGAGGCATCCTCACCGGAAGCTTCGACTCCACTCACTCGGGTAGAGTTGATCACCTTGACGTTCAACTTCTTAAGCATTTTTTCGGCGCTGGAGCTGGCAGATGGCTTAAGCATGGAGAGAACCCGATCGGTGGCCGAGACCAAGGTGATAGATGCCTTGCTGCCGCTCTGCTTAACTGCTTCCGCAATCTCGCCGGCGACTTCGACACCAATGGGGCCGGCACCACCAATGACGATCTCCTTAGCACCAGAGATCTGCTGTTGAGATGCGGCGATTATTTCTTTCAGATCGTCATGGTTGGTCGGCTTGAATGGGATTGAAGAGCCGGTGATGGAGCCGTTGGATGAAGCTGTCGTGCTGCCAGATGCGATGACAAGGTAGTCATAGGACACGGTCCTGGCATCACCAGCATTGGGAGTCACCGAGACGCTCTTGGCGGTGGTATCGATGGCAGTGGCAGTTCCGGCAATGAATTCGAACGACTCGGCGGGGTACTTGGCAAAGGCATTGGGGATGGGAAGCAGATACTGGTCGGGCGAGAAGGCCTTGGCCTTGGCGACGATGCGCGGGGCGGCGATGTTCCAGTAAAAAACGGTGGATGGGTTGACGAGCACAACCTTGATGTCGGGAACGGCAAGCAGAGAGTGAGCTATATGGAGACCTGCGTAGGAGGCGCCAACAATGGCAACAGTGGTGGGAGCCATGGCAGAGTTCCAAGGTTGTTGATGGAGAAATGTGTGATTGAAGACCGCGGTGAATGGAAGCTATCAAGGCGGACTAGGAAGTATTTATACTGGACCCTTCCTCCAGTTAGTTACCAGCCCCCTCATCACTAGTACTAGTACTTTAGTCACACCCCGTCCGCCTTTTTCCAAAAGCAGAGCTTGCAGAGGCAGAGAGAAGTGAAGCTTTGTTAGTCAGCCACTACACTCTAAATATGCCTGGCTTATCAATCCTAGTGCCAGTGCCAGTGCCACACAATGCTGCTTACTGGATGTGCCTCAGGGTCGGAAGTTCCCGTGACCCGGGTTCCGCTTACTCACCGGAGATAGTAAAATAGTGCAGAGTACGGAGTAGAGGAAATGTCCTACTATTATCTATATACTAGAGTGTACTGGGCGACCAATCGTGATACTAGTAACAATTGAGGATGTATATTGTCTTTCACTCCTCCAAACTGCCCACATCGCCAGACACCCATCACCACATCCCCAATGGCAATCCATACTGTATTTATCTTCCCGTCCTCTGATTGGCGGGATTGCAGGATCTATCGATAAGACCACGTGATTCCAGAAAGTTTTCATCGCGCGCGAGAAACCATCCGCGACATCGCCACAACACCCTTCCATTTTCATTAACTCATCCATCATGTTTGGTGCCGTGCGTCGTTTCGGTACTGCCCATGCGCTACGTGCAGTGGTGCCGCGCTCCACGCATGTCCGCTGGACTCCTCAATTGTTCAAATGGCAGCCCTCGTCGACGCTTTCCCCTGGCCTGGTCCGGTCTTTCCAGACTTTCCCGGCCCTGCGTGAGGCCACCGCTGCCGCTGCCGCTGAGGCTGAGGCCGAGACTGGGGTGAAGGAGACCTCCGAACAAGAACTCATCACAGAGTTTGCAGATCTGCAAACATCGGGCCTCATCAGCCCTTCGCTGATCCGAAACATCACTCATCCCAGCCGCATGGGTCTGAAGACCATGACCGATGTTCAGAGTCAAACCATCAACCAGATGCTTCAAGGTGTCGATGTGTAAGTTGTTCTTTTGTCTTTCGAAGGCGCGTCCCATCATTTCAAAAACAATCGCTGACTTTTGGTTCAGTTTGGCCCAGGCAAAGACTGGAACCGGCAAGACCCTTGCTTTTCTCATCCCAACCATGCAGAACATCCTCAATGATCCCACATTCGTTCAGACTCGCAAAACTGGCCGTGGACGTACCGGAGCCAGCTGCGCCGATGTTCGCGCCCTCATCATCTCGCCCACCCGCGAATTGGCTGAGCAAATCGCTGCGGAGGCGATGAAGGTTGCAGCCAACACCGGTCTCATCGTTCAGACTGCTGTCGGTGGTACACAAAAGTCGTTTGGATTGAAGAAGATGCAGCGCGAGGGTTGCCATCTTCTCGTTGGAACCCCTGGCCGTCTCAAGGATATTTTCTCTGACCCCAGGAGTGGCGTTGCGGCTCCCGGGCTGAACACCCTGATTCTCGACGAGGCTGATCGTCTGCTTGATGACGGATTTTCGCAGGAGATTAGAGAACTCCAAGATCTTTTCCCAGACCCATACAAGGTGGACCGTCAGACACTCATGCTCTCGGCTACCGTGCCCCGTGAGGTGATGAGAATGGTTGACAGAACTATGAAGCCGGACTACAAGTTCGTCAAGACCATTCGGGAGGACGAGGCCCCTACCCACATGCGGGTGCCTCAGAAGGCTGTTTTCATGCAAGGATATGAAAATATTCTGCCCACTATCCTCGACCTTGCCAAGGAGTACAAGGCTCGCCAAAGCGAGGACCCCAGCCTGCGTCCATTCAAGGCCATAATCTACGCCAATGCCACAAGCGAGGTCTCACTCTATTCCAGTGTCTTCGAGGAGCTTCGTGTCTCCCCCGAAGACCGCCGCCGCCCACTGGGTCGTATGGCCATGATTGAGATTCATTCCAGGCTCACCCAGGCCGGGCGCACAGCTGCGGCCAACAACTTCCGAAGGGCAACTGAGGCCATCCTCTTTTCTTCGGACGTGACTGCCCGTGGTATGGACTTCCCGGATGTGACCCACGTCCTTCAGGTGGGTGTTCCCCGCGACAGAGTGACCTACGTCCACCGTCTCGGTCGTACCGCTCGTGCCAACAAGACCGGTGAAGGCTGGATCTTCCTCACCGAGGGTGAGCGCCAGCATTATCACAAGCTGCTTAGCGGTATTCCGATCGAAGAAGACCGCACTTCCTTCCCTGTCGCCTCCTACGACATGACCGAGGGCCTCTCAGGTGAGCCTGATAGCTCCCTTGCCCAGACCACGAGTGCCATGGCCATGTTGCCCCCTGCCACCCGTGAAACCGCCTGGAAGTCCCAGTTCGGCACCCTCATCCCGACACATGGAGACCGCCGTGCCTGCGTCGCGGCGATGAACCGCAATGCCGTCCACGGATACTGCCTGCCCGAGCCTCCCGCTATCAGCGCTCGTGTCGCCCAAAACCTCGGCATTAGCCGAATTCGCGACCTGAACGTTGAGGGACCTCGCCGTGACTTTGACGATGATCGACGTCCCCGCAGCGGGTTCGGCCGCGATTCCAACCGCGGTGGCTTTGGTCGTGACTCTGGTCGTGGTTTCAGCCGCAACTCAGACCGTGGCTCAGACCGTGGCTCAGACCGTGGTCGCCGGTCAGGCGGTTTCAACGATCGCAGTCCTCGCGGCCGGTACAACAACTTCGTCGACCGGGATAGTGGATTTGGCGGTCGATCCCGCGAATTCAAACCAACCCGTCGCAGCACCTTTGATGACGACTTTTAATCTGTGACACGAATTTTCCAATCCGTGAAGCAGGGCAATCGATAGAGTTACCTTGCCATTCTCGCATCCGGCCGGCGTTTCTATGTCTTTTGGCTTACGTCCTTGTACAATATGCCTGCTGTCTTGATTCCTCCACTTCCACTTCTCACCTCATGTGTTATATTGCTTCAAGTTCATTGTGAACGATATGTAATTTCAAAAATTGTACTATACACAGGATACCATCTAGCAAATCATTCCTCTTACTATTAAGAATTCAAACTACATTACAGCATGATAAAATCCTCAGTCTTACTGCCCACCTGGCAGGTGGTAACCTTTGAACCTTCCTTGGATCCTAAGAATTTGATCAATTAATAATAGTTTTAGTAGTCACTGTCTAAGTATACCTAGTTTACCAACTTTGGAAATAAATAACTCCACCTACCTCATGTCGAACAGCCCTGTCCAAAAGAACGACAACCAACTCAAAGGAAATGTCTAGCATATATGCCCATTGGGGAATAAGTAACACCGCAAGAAGGATGTAAAGATGGAAACCGTGTATAATTCAATAACATATCCCAATATTTTGCAGTAACCAGATACCCGAGACGGAATAACAGAGAAATCTACCCAAAAAAAGGAAGACACTTACAATAAATCAACCTCGGAAAGGGGGATGGGATGGAGGGACGAGGGGATAGAGAGGGAAGGGAAGGGATATAACACCTATTCACGCATTTTCTTCATTCAATCTACTCGCGGGCAATCATGTGCTCACGAGCAGGACCGGTACCGATCCACTTGACGGGGACATTGCCGATCTCACGCTCAATGAACTCAATGTAGGCCCGCGCGTTGGGAGGCAAGTCCTCGTAGCGGGTGACACCCATGGTGTTGGATTTCCAGCCAGGGAGGGTAGCGTACTCGACCTGGATCTTATCGACGACGTTGGGGTCGGCGGGGAAAGTGAAGGTAGTGCGGGTTCCATCGGGAAGGATGTAAGCGACACCAACCTTGATCTCGTCAAAGTCATCCAGGACATCGAGCTTGGTCAGGTTGAGCGCGGTGTAGTGATTGATGGCGTGGGAGTAGCGGGCGAGAACAAGGTCGAGCCAGCCACAGCGACGACGACGGCCGGTCGTCACGCCGAACTCGCGGCCAACCTTCTGCAGCTTGTCGCCGTCCTCGTTCAGCTGTTCGCTGGGGAACGGTCCTGATCCGACGCGGGTGGTGTAGGCCTTCAGAACACCGATAACGTTCTTGATGCTGGTCGGGTTCAGGGCAAGTGCTTGCACGGCACCGCCCAGACCGGTGGAAGAGGAAGTGACGAAAGGGTATGTGCCGTGGTCGAGGTCCAGCATGAGAGCGTTGGCGCCTTCGACGAGGGTGTTGGGGGAGTCCTTGTGCTTCTGCAGGAACTCGAGTTGATCGACGATGTAAGGCTGAAGCTTGGTGCGGTATTCCTGTATATATATACTTCGTTAGAGAGCCGATTCTAGTCTGCATGCACCCCAGACCAAATCCGATCAACCCCAGGCCGGGGTATTTTCCCCCACAAAGTCTCAGATTCTTATTCTCCTCATGAACATACCTTGAAACGAGCAATTTCCTCCTCGACATCGTAAGAGATATCGCCGAAGCGAGCACGGTACGAAGTGTCCAGCGTGCGCAGTTTCCGCTCGAAGGTCACCTCATCCAGGATCTCACCGATGCGCACACCACGGCGTGCAGCCTTGTCGCTGTAGCAAGGACCGATACCCTTACCGGTGGTGCCAACCTTACGGCCACCGAGACCAGCCTCCTCCAGACCATCGACGACGGAGTGGAGATCGAAGCAGACATGCGCGCGGTCAGAGATGAAGATGCGCTTGCTAGCGGAGGTCAGACCCTTGGTCTCGATCTGAGCGAGTTCCTTGAAGAAGCTGGGGACGTGGACGACAGTGCCGGCGCCGATCAGGTTGATACATGAAGGTGAGACCAGACCCGAGGGCAGAATGTGGAAGTCGTAGGTGACGTTGTCGTGGACGATGGTGTGGCCGGCATCTGTGGAAGAGTAAATTAGTAATTGAGCATTCGTTCAAGTTTCCATTTGGACGAGGGTCATGGGGGGTTAAAACGTACTGTGACCACCAGCAGCACGACAGCAGAGAGTCGCCTGCTGCGACAGCATATCGGTAATCTTGCCCTTCCCTGTAAAAATCGACAATCCGACGTCAGCATCTCGTCTTGACTCAATTCTCTTTCCCTTTTGCCCTCTGCGGGCGACTCCGCGGACTCACCCTCATCACCCCATTGACTTCCTAAAACAATAGAGACCATGTTTGCGGTTGTGTATGTGCCGATTCCGAATGCGTGCCAATCGCGATGCTTGGATATACGTGGATTGGAAATCAATTGCAATCAATTGTGTTAGTGGCGGGGAATTGGAAAAGAAGAGAAGTACGTCCGGCTTCGGGATGGCGGGGCAAAGTATTCTGGCGCGGGTCAGTGGTTCAAACTTCTCTCGGTGTACAATTGGGGTCACCCATTTGGGATAAGCCGGGGATTGATATCTTCATACCGAATAGTCACTTCAAAAGGTTCAAAAATAACACCCTACAGAAAAAAAGGGCAGCCCCGATGGATTTACATACTTGAGGCCCCGCGGTGACTCCAAACGTGACTCATGATCGTATTTTTCCCGCACAATTTTGGTATTTTACAGTATTTCCAGTACACGAGGTATACCTGCCTCAGGCCTCAATATCAAGTCCTACTAACTACTGTAGTACACTAGTTAACTAGTAGTTAGTACATAACTATGAAGTACTACTAGGAAGCATGCTTATGTGAAGAACTAGATTCAACTAGATTAAAAAGTACAATCTCAATGTATGCATGCAACCTCAGGGCATGCAGAATTAATAGGCCCGAGGCTAATATCTATCAAATGCAAATCATATCCAGGGTATTCACCAAAAAAGACACCAAAGCCGAGCCTAACATGCAAAAAAGAACAACGGCGAGAAACGCTCAACACACCTCATCTCATTCATCATAGAACTTCAAGGCATTCATTCAAATCACTTTTCCTCCTCTACGAATCCATTCCCGAAGTCGTCCCAGCTCTACGATACACTCGCGGTGCAACTCACAAGCCACATCCCAGTGCTTCCGTACCTGGACATCCTCCTCAATGCCTCGCAGGTACGCACTGTACCCACCAGTTCGACGATCGGGAACCAAATCATCAATATCCGCCTCGTCAACTTCCGCATGACCCTGACTCTTCTCCGGGGTTGCATCTCCGTCTGCACCATTCATTCGTAGACGTGCCGTGTCGCCCACAGCACTTATCCAGCCCGGAGCGAGACCTGTTTCGATGGCATCTTGCCGGGTATTGAAATGCAGCAGCATGCGTCGGTTAAAGATATTCCAGTCATGCATATAGCTGCCCATCGTGGACACGTAATAATTCCATTTATCGCGAGAGAGCATGAGTTGTTGCGAACCCGGTTGAAGGACGAGATCAGGTGCACGGGGTCGCTTGGGCGGGTTGGGCAAATCGAGCTTCCGTGGTTGGATGTCTTCTTTCGTGGTTGTCTGCTGTCTTGCTTTCGACTCGAATGGTAAGGTCGCGAAGACGTCTTCCAGGTTTTCGATACCACCGCTGTTGGTGCTAGTAAAAGGTGCCGTGTTGCGAAGATTATCCAGATTAAACAGAGGTGTGCGAGTCTCTGCCTTGGATGCGCCATTTACTGTATGAGGTATTGCGGGTTGCTTCGATGCGCCTGAATCACTTCCTGCAGCGTTTCCATTCAGATCCGGATAGCTTGTGTTTGCCGACCCACTAGCAGAACCATGTCCTGAGGCGGATGATGCAGTTGGATGAACCGGGGGCATTTCGTCATCAAGATCCATGGCTTCAGGCTCGACCTCGGCCTCAGTGGGCGGGGTCGGTGTTGACTCCAAGGGAGTTTCGCCAGTGATTGTCTCTTTGTTTTCTTCGGCCTCGGTCGCCACTTTTGCCGGTTGGGGGGTGCTTTTCTTGTTGCCCGATCTGGCTGGCTTCTTGGGGCTCCGTGAAGATGGGGTGTTTGCTTGTCGAGGCTTGTGAGCATCTGATGGATTCCAGGGAATATTTCGAAGCTGTTCGCTCCACTGCTCGGCTGAAAATTTCGCTTGTGCAAATGGTGTCGGCGCCTGTTGCGGCTGTGCCTGTGGTTGAGGTCCAGTTCCTGTCGTAGGTGCAAATGAGTCAAGGTCAGGCCACCCAGCCCCTCTCCTCGATGACCCTGAGCCAGTGGGGTTTGTTGTCCTGCCCTGGCTTTGCGAGACAGGCGAGGTACGCAATGGATTTACTTGTGGGGGTTGCGTCGGGTCATCTATTGACATGTTTGCAAATTTTGGATGCGAATAGTTGTCTGCTTTCCGCGGCTGGAAGTCACGGTATAACTTTGATGTCTTCTCCCTGTCCGCACTGCCCTTGGATGAGCGAAATGCGTCTTTGCTCTTGGCGTGGGCACCGAGAAAATCGAACTTGTTAATATGTTCTCTCCAGTCCTCTTCGGAAAACTTCTTGTGTAGATTACTGGGACTGTCCCGCCCAAACATTGGTGGGGGGGGTTGGCTTGCTTTCGGCCGAATCGGGGCTGTTCATATGAGAAAATGATGAGCTTGACTTCCTTAAAGGGTGCGGACGAAGAGCGTCATACCGTGAAGCAGGGTTGCTGAATGGTCGTTGCTGGTCCTTGGGGAAAGCTGCACTGTCGGAATTATGCCCTTGATCACGGTATAGGTCAGCATTTCCATCCTGGTATCCTGAGTTTCTTCGGTATTTCCAGAATCCTTCCGGAGACGGCGACAGCCTGGAGTGTTTTTGGCCTTGTCGGGCACGAGGGTCCTCACCAGTGCTGGAGCTCGAGTCATTGCCGTAGAGATCAGGAAACTTCTGACGGTGGCGCATTCGACTCTTGGGTACGGCCTTCGGTTTAGGCTGAGGTTCGGGAATATCCTCTTCGTCATCGTCTAGGTCGCTAGAGGTTTCTGAGACTGAATATTCCCGATTGCGTCCGCTCTTCGGACTGACACTACGGTGACGTTCATGTTGACCAGGAGTCGGACTGGGTGGATTTGTGCGTGCACTGGAGGTTCGGTAACCTCCAGATGGAGTGCGTACAGTGGACGAACGTCCAAGCCCGGAGCTTGTAAAGAATGTCTTCTCGCCACCTGCCGTCGCATAGCGGCTACTGGCACGTTCGTATTCCGGATGGAACTGTGGTAGATCGGGAACCACTGGTTTCTTTGCCGTGGGCGCTCGTGGAGGAGAATCGAAGTACATGCTGCTTGGCCGGCTGGAGCTGGTATACGCTGAGGTATTTCGGGCCATGGGCTCGTCATCTCCGGAGGCCCCAGGGGCATATCCGTTCCTCTTCTTGGGTGAATGGGGGGGTTGAGGAAGGATTCTGCGTTCGGTAACTTTCTTGGAAGCGTTCGTAGGCGGATTGAGGTCGTGGTTTACCAAAGGGTTGATTCTGCTGTCTTGGTGTTCCTCCGGCGGTTGAACCTCCTGTATTTGGGTCAAATCCTCGCCAGCCGGCGGCGCCCCTCATTCCTGAGAACCCTTTGAACGCATCTGCTCTCGTTTGACCCTCATCCCGTGGCTTTTGCCATGACGTTGGCCCCGCACGGGCATGTGCTTCGTACCGCTTGGCGCCTGAGGACGGTCCATTTGACGTGGGTTGCGGTTTCGTAAAAGGTGGCGGATTGTATTGGGGTCGTGGAGGAGTAGGTCTGAAGGCAGTTGGCTGTGGCTGTGCCCTCCGCGAGGTATTTGTCTTTGGAGGCCCGGATACCTTGCCGTAGCCAGCGCGCAATCGATCTGTATCGTACCTGAGGCGTTGCTGGGGGTCACTCAGAAGATCGTGAGCGGTTTTGATGGCTTGGAACTTGGCATTAAACTCTGCCTCCTTCCCGGGGTTCTTGTCAGGGTGGTACTTGAGCGCTAAATGATGTGTTAGCACGAATCTGGATGCGTGGTCCTGAAAGTCCTAATGTCTACCCACCTAGCTTCCTGAACTGCTTTTTGATATCCTCTCCTTCCGCACTGGGGGCGAGTCCCAGGTCTGCATAATAGTCCCTTCGCACGTCGGTTTTGGCCATGTTTGTTACCGGTTTAATGCGGCGATACTAGAGTTCCGAACCGTGTCCAAGGGTCATCATAAGCGGTCGTGTACAAACTCGGTGCTCGCGCGCATGTCCGGGAGAGAGAGAGAAAAGTCGATGTTGGCAAACTCGGTCAATGCGCGCTACTTTTGGGCGCAAGTCAAAGCGAATGTATCAAGGCGAAACGAATGAGAGTAGTCCTAAGACAGACTAGCGAAAGAACTTGAAGTTCTAGAAAACCGACGAATGAATGGATTGAGGGTGATTTCGGTGGGAGTCGGTTGCCTGCAGGGCCCGCTCCGACAGGGCTGAGCGAACCTGGAGCACGAACTAGCGGAGGCAGGGGATTCGGTGCTTGCGATCGCGGCGAATGGGCATGGTACGCGTCGTGGAAGTTGAGTCGTCACAGAGAGAGAAGTTTCTCGAGGGGCGTGGAGGGGGAGGGAAGGGCAGGAAAGTTCGAGGGCGGGCAGAATCGCAGATCGGGGAGATCGTGAGATGGGCTAGGCAGTCGGAGTAATGTGAGCACAGGGCACTGGGCACCTGATGAGGTTGAAGTCAGGCTGCTAGGTCCAAGCGCACGGGGGCAAGGTAGCCAACGAGATGCGACAAATAAAGTGACAATGCCAGTGCCTCAGCCTCTGGATGTGTTGGCTGATTAAGTGAGGAAAGGAGGGGAAAAAAGGCGGCTGTGTTTGTTTTGGCGCGGGTTTGCTGCCCGATTTGACTTGGCCGGTCTGGACCTTCAAGTTCAGGGCTTCCAGTGCATTCTCCTTACCGAGCGTTAGATATACTAGTACTGTTACGGTGTTATTCAGGGTGTCTCATCTCTGTATATTTATGTTTATGTTTATATTTATAGTATTTATAGATATAGATAGTATATAAGAAATATATGGTATCTCAACACTCAAGACACTGCAAAATCAAAAATAGAGATCAAAACCAATATCAAAAAAAGAAAAGAAGAAAAAGAAAAGAAGACAAGAACAAATCCAAAACAGCCATAACCCCGGACTCGCGAAACCGGTCCTTTTTTCCTGTTAATCCTCTCTGACAATGCAATCCCGAATAAAGCAAGTAGCGGTGGTAGAGGTGAGGTTGAGATTGGGATAGTAAATGGCAAGAACCAGCAAGATCGTGTGGAGGGAGGGGGTGTGAAGGAGAGACGGGGGATGATACAAAAAAAGATATACATGCAACGTAAAAGGATTAAAGGAAAGTAAAGAAGAAGAGGATTGGGGGGGGGGGGGGTAAGTCAGAAGCATAAAGAGGAGAGATAAACAACTTACGCATCTCCACCGGATGCGCCAGGTCCAGAGCCCCCGAAGAAATACCCTTCTAGAAGATCATAGTTGGGATTTTCACTCCAATCATGTTGGAAATCCATCGCCATGCCAAACCCCAGATCAATGCCCACGTTCTGTCCTAGATTGGGACCAATAGGAGGCATATTGGCGAGATGATAGTCTGCATTCGCATCTGTTTCCATATTCCCTGGATGATCGGGATCTCCAGAGCTAAAGTCCAAGAAATCGAGACTGATTCCAGCCTGATTATCCGGGTGGTCGGCAGGTGGAACGCCATGAGGGGCATTGGCAGAATGGGCGGCAACACTGCCGGGAGAACCGCTCTGCGGTGGCGAGTTACCATAGTAGAATTGAGGGTGAGGGGCCTGGGGAGAAGTGGCGTTTTCATATTTCATGTAGTACTCCATCGAGGGAGTCCGCTGGGCGAACGGACGACCCGTGCGATCTGTGGGTGCGAAGCCCGAAGGTAGATTCTCTGGGGCATCTGGCCGGACGGCATAGGGAGGTCCCCCGGGCCTATTCTCAATCCTTGATCGATCAGCCAGAGGTGGGTTGTCGCTGAATAGGTCTGCCAGGTTCATGTCAAACTTGGGAACCGGTCGCGACGAGCGACTCTGGGTTTGTCGGCGAGTCTGGCCTTGGCCCGGTTGTTGCCGTTGACCCATTTGCTGGCGTGTGCGGCCATGATACAATGGGCTGCTTGCGTGAGATGATGTTTGCACACGGGACATGTCAACTTGAGACCCGAATCCGGTCGTAGAGAGACACATCTGGACTGTGGCCTTGCTCATCCGCTCGAAAGCATCACGGCAATTCTCAGCAGGTGGACATTTATGCATCAAATCACCCAGAACAGATGTTGCCGCAAGGACAGTAAAATCGACTTCATCGAGAGTGAGTCGGCTTCGAACAAGAGGCGAATGCCAGATAGCATATAAGAAGGATATTCCTAGAACAACAAGGTCAGTACTCAATCAAGTCGGTAGTAGAGCAAGCAGTGGATTCTTACCAGCCATGAAAATATGGTGAGTAGCAAGATACGTATAATTTACCAAACGGACACGGTGAAGCTGACGATAGATTCGAATCACTTTCTGACCAGCTTCGGCAACATTCAGGTAGACATGGTCTTCTTCATCACCCTCGTCAGGGTTTGAGAAGGACGGACTGGAGACATCGTCGGCCGGGGTCAATTCGCTAGCTAGCTCAGCAGGTACCGTCAAGCTCTGCTGATATAGCAGAATTATGCCTTGCCAATAGTTCAACTCCAAAAGTTCGATAGAGAATCGAACACCAGTGTCCGCGCGAGTTGGGGCGGTTTCGTGCCATTCCACCAAGCGACGGTGTACATCATGTCGCCACGAGCGGAATGAATCGAATCCTTGGAGGAACGGTGAGGTAAGTTCAGCGTGGGGCAAGATAACCATGCTATCTGGCGCACGTCTTCGCACCGCACGGGCTTGTTGGTATTGAAGAACATCGTGAATTTCGGATTGAAGAAGACGCAGCTTGAAGTAATGGAAAGCTACATGCTTATAAGTCGGGGCTCCCTCGGGTGGTGACAACAGACCAGACTTGGTGATAAACTTGTCATCCATCATGGATGGGAACTCGGTGCTGATGGCTTGGTCGCTAATACCGAATGGCCGTCCGACGCAAGTAGCAACGAGACGGTCAAAGCTGTATACACACCACCAAAGGCGACGCCGCAAGTCACGGACCCATTCGCGTCGACCACGCTCACGCGCATCGATGCGGGGTTGAATAGGGTTACCATCCTTCGATCCGGTATCAAGACCAACGCCATCTTCATAGTGGAGGCCCAAATCAACTGCTAGGCGCATAGCGACACCTACAATATACCACAGACCCGGTGCAACGGGCCGGAGCAGCGCAAAGCTGGCCAACAAAAGCACTGCTTGGAGTTCTTCTAACCCACCGAAGCCCTCACTGGATGAGGAGCCCAGGAAAGATTCCAAATGCACGATCGCCGAGGCATGGTACTCTTCTGGCTGGTATTGGTGACTAGACAGCCTTGGCCGCTTGGTTGTGGACGAGGCTCGGTCACGGCCAGCGCGGCTCTCCTCATCTGAACTTTGGGGCTTGTCGTCGAAGATGATCCCAGCGCCAATAGCAAACACAATGTTGAGGATATAAAGAGCGCGTGGGGATCGATTTTTCTCTTCTAGTTGATATGTTCGATCTAAAAGTTCCATAAATTCTGGGCGGTGGAGAATGGGCATTTGGGGGTTGGCATGTTCGAAATAGAGATCGATGAGTCGCTCGGCTAGCTCGCGGTCGGGGAAGGCTGCACGCTTCATCATTGGCTTCGTCTGGAGACCGAAGAAAGAATCACGCATGGTGCCTCCTCCAGGTCCACCGGCGGCTGTTTGGGGGAGACGGTCACTTGTCCGGATCGAAGCACGCTCGGGTATGTTGCCTGGCAGTGAACTTCTCACTGCAGCAAAAACAACTCGAGCAAATGATATACCGGATGTGGAACCAAGATACCGAGGATCAGATGTGCCTTGCACCGAAACCATGCCGATGTTTGATACCAAGTTGTGCAAGCGCCAATTGTCCTCGTTGGCGGGATCGCGAGCACCTTCTGCAGTCTGTTCTACATCTGCTCTCTGCTCGGACCGGTCATTCTCCTCCTTCAACGCTGGATTCTTCCATTGTGCCTTGTCTGAGATATCAATGGCGTTTCCGTCAAGAGTAGATGAGGGTTGCGCAATGTCGGGCTCTGTTTCCGTTTTGACTGCCTCCTCTTCGTCAAAAGCAACAGCCTTCTTAAACTCGATCTGATGCTCCGCCAGCTGCTTTTCTAGATAGGCGACTCGGGTTTCTAGGAAATACACGTAACTACGTGGTATCTCTCGCTTGGTGATAGGGTCATATCCGACACAGCGGACACCCGCCTTTTCACAGGATTGGCATCGTGGGAGGCGCTGATCACAGCGGTTCTTGCGGAGTCGACAGCGATTACATGCGGACACATTTCGAAAGGAAGAAGAGGATGCACTCGAGGCAACGGTGGCAGTTGAATGCGCCGGCGACGTGGAGGGCGCGGCAGCCGAGGCGGAGGGGTTGGGGTTGGGGCCATCGCGCAAGGTATGCGACAGCGCGGGGTCGGGTTGAGTGGGCGATGTGTCGTTGGAGGGGTGTGGTCTCTTCTTCCCCGAAGAAGAGAGGGGGGATGGCGGGGAGGGAAGGTTAGGCATTTTGGGAAACGAGTGGTGAGGGCGACAGACTTGCGATCATCTCTTGGAGGTGGAGTTCTGCGGAGATAGCGGTCGGGAACAGCGGTAGGACACCCCGGGCCGAATCAGCGTTCATGATAGACCGGTGAGGTGTAGCAAAGTTGTCTCGATGCAGGGACACGGTTCTTGCGATCCAGAATGAGGGAAAAGGAGGCGGCCCGCACTTCTCAACGTGGTTGCGGCGAACAAGCTCTCTCCGCGGCGCAGGTAGTAACGCGACGGAGGGTGAATATCCTCCGACAAGTTGGTTTAACTAGGAAAGTCGGTAGTTGGGGGGGGCAATCTCTGAGAGCGCGATTCAGTCGCGACCACATAGAACAAATTGACCAGCGTCCTCGAAGGACTGTCAGGACGACACGGTAGCTGGCGTAGCGATGAAGAGGAGAGAGAGTAGCATCCGATAGGGTTCTGGTGGAGCGTTTCGGGTCAGCTGTGGGTGGCCCATCCAGACTCTCCGGATATTAAGTTTCCCGAGGGCATGGAGAAATCCATCGGCATCTCGGTACCCCAGATTTCTCCTTGCTGCCCGAAGAATTAGTAGTAGGTACCTATAGGTAGGGGAGGGGGAAGGTCACAGCGATCATTTAGTGCCTAGTCAGCATTGATCTTTGGCCGACAATTGGCCCTGTCCAAAGACTGACCACAGCCATTGCAGTACGACGCAGTAGTCGGCGGCGGAGTCGAGGTGTCAAGTGGATCTCCCCGGGATATATGTCTTGTCATTGGTGGAGCCGCGGAGAACTTGACTGACAGTTGGTCTCGAGGAGTTCCGTGCAGGTGGGATGAGGGGGAGGTTTGAGGAGGGTGGAAAGGTAGAGGTGAGGAGGAGGAAGGGGAAAGTTGGAAGTTCCTCAGCCCGAGACAATGGTGCGGTGTCGACTAGTATTTATGATGTGCATGGCCTGATTGCCCGTTCTGCATGGAAGGTGGTATAATACTACAATCTATGAGTGGATATGCTTGGCTTGCAGTCCTGCCAAAGACCTACACTGGAGTGCTTACTACTACTAGTAACCCATTTAGGCGCCCGAGTGGGGGCCTCTATACCATGAAGAGGAAAAGAAGACTGTGAGTGAACAGGTCCGAGTCCACTGGTAAGGTGGTCGGCCGTTTAATTGATCAAGTCTGTAGTAACTGTGGAATCTATCTTGAAAGATTCAGTGGTGCCTGGATAGGGCAACCAGATGATGAGAGAAAAAAACACAAAACAAAAAGAGGAATGAACAACATAATGCAAAAAACGAAAACACAAATAGCCTCCCAGATGCATGAGTATCATCATAATATATCCCGTTTCAATGCTCCAAGGGTAATGAAAATGACAATGACAAAACATAACACAATATAGATGAAGAGAAGAACGAAATCCGAATTGGAAGCTTTTTTTTCGCAGATGCATCCCTTCTATGACAGTTGCGCCGTGTCCTGCTCTCAGATGAGAGAAAAGCAGAGATAAAAAATAAAAAAAATAAAAAAAAGGGAAGAAAAAAATAGAAATAGAAAATCATGAGGTCAAGGGGAATCAGGTATCATGGCTGGAGATTGAGAGGGGAAGAAAGTGCCCATGAGTAGGGCAATATGCAGCAGCGCTGGCAATGGTATAGTCTTTCCAGAAGACCGATGTAGAAATTAAAAAAAGGGAAAGGGTAAGAAGAAGAAAAAAGGGAATGAGCAAGGCAGATAGCCCAGTCTCTGTTTTCGTTCGATGTCGGAAAGAGCATAATCAGACGGTGTAGATTAAATGCGAGGAACTGACGTCAAATCCTCATCGGAGGTAGGCATGGTCAAGTTCAGATTTGAAACGTCGTAATCGTGGTCAATGCTGGAACGTAGAGAAAGCAGTCGCTGCTCCTCTTCCGAGATCGTGGAGATAGAAGTGCGCGGGGTGAAAGGCTCTGAGAGAGCTTCTCGCTTCATCTCCGCCTCACTCACTTCAGGCTGGTCCTTGAACCGCTCAGGCTCTGAAGATTCCTCCATCCAAAAGCTCTGGAAGGCACCAATCAAGCAGACGAGACCACAGGCCCACCATGCCAGCACGGAGTGTCCGCTCTCAAGCCCCTTGGAGTGCAGAAGACCGGTTATTGTCGGTCCAAAGGCACGACTGAGGCTAGCAGTGGAAGCAGCAGCACCGTTGATAGAGCCCAGGACCTTCGATGTGGGGGCGGCATTAGCAAGGATGATGTTGATGGCGGGGAAGGTGATGACATGGAAGGTGATCTTGCTGATCAGGGCGAGGTAGACGGCTGGCATCTGCAATTTAGCCGGCAGGAGAATAAGATAGGGCACGGCCAAATAGAGCGGTGGCCAGACAAGCAGCACGAAACGGAACGTGCGCACAGTGCCAAAGTGCTTGACAACGAATGGGAATAGCCATAGTTGGGCAATCATGGAGTAGACACCCTGCACGGCTAACATCAGACCAATGGTCTTGGTGGGAAGCCCGAGTCCACCAGTGAACTCAAAGGGCAAAACAACGCGGTCGTCGGATTTGGGTGTGCTCAGAAAGACTGGCATCAGCTGATCGAAGGAGACGCTGTGGCTGCAGAAAAGAAACAAGGTTGTCAGCATCATGGAAATCGGGCGGAACAAACTGCAACAAAATGCAACCCCTCGCCAAGCCTACACAGCCAGGAAAGAGGAAGAGGGTGGGTGGAGGGGTAAGGGGACCAACTCACTATGCCAGAATGCCGTAAGCAGCGATGGTGATGATGACTTGTCGGGTGAACGCCTTGGGAGCGGGGGATTTCTGACCCTCGAGGTCACACTCGGAGGTTGTTGAGGCGTCCTTCACGGGGCGCAGGCAAGGCGATGATTCGGCACTCTCGTACTCGGGCGGCATATCCCCGTAGACGAAGTATTTGGTCTCTTCGACCACGTCGGAATCCTCGGGGAGTTGCACGCGCGAGCCCCAGCATTGGTTGACGAGCCAGTGGCCCAACTCCACGCCAGGGTCACGGCGGTGCTTCTTCTCCGGGTGGGTCTCTTCCAGAAACAGGGTACCGACAACGATGCCACAGATCAGGACGATAATGCAAACCAGATTGGGCAGCAGGAATGGAAATCGGTCAAAGAAGGTCTCTCGCGCAAAGAGCCACGGATAGTTCTCGCAGGGTTGGGCCAGGGCACCGCCCATAGCCGGCCCAACGATCGAACCGAGACACCAGACAAAGGGCATGATAGAGTAGGCTCGAGGCTGATGCTCCTTGACCGTGACGATCTCCGCCACGGTCGTCTGAAGAACACCAATATTGCCGTTCAGCAGACCCCCTAGAGCGCGCGCAATCATCGCCGTCGCCAGGTTGGGCGCAAATCCAAAGGCTACCATGCTGATGGCCGTTCCCACCAACCCCATGATGAGCACAGGCTTCCGGCCGATGCGGTCGCTCATCCGGCCCCAGAACATGCCAGCGGAGAATTCGGCGAAGGTGAAAGAAGAGGTGATCATTCCGGCGTAGAGCGCAATCTTCTGGTCGTTGTCCGTCACATGGAATGATTCCACCATGTGATACACATAAGGGAAAATGGACATGAAAGCAATGGGTTCACAAATTCGGACCAGTGCTACATCTTGTCAGCTCTGTTCCCATACTATCGACAGGATGGCAATTGTCGAGTAGCGATCATGCTGCTCAACAGTGTCCCATATTCACGGGACAGCCACATAGTTCGCAATGCAAGCAAAAGTACTATGACTTACCTAAGACGAATAATTGTCGAATGGGAAATTTGGACCAATCCTCACCGGATCCATGGCGTTGTCGCCGGCCCTGTAAACAAGCTGGCCGTTGAAACATTGTGATGACAAGTGAGAAAAGAAATCACGACAATAGGGGGGTTTTAACAAAAAAAAAAAAAAAAGAAGAGGAAAAGAGAGCTGTCAGAAGCTGTGGTCCCAGAAAAAGTAAAGAGGCGTAGTAAGGACCCCACTTCACTCCGGAATACCTAGTTGACAATCCCAAAAAAAAGGGCAGGGAAAAGTACCAAATAGGTCCTTTTGATTTTTGATCCTGTCTCCTTAAGATTACCCCAGGTTAATGCGTCAGGGTCGGAAGGGAGAGAATGCAATTGGTGTGAAAGGCTGAACGTCGGATCGGAGCAAGGAGCGTGGACTGATTTGTTTTTAGGGCTTCAGCATTGCTCCCCCTGCGGTTGGAAATTCTATCGCAACTCCGATAAGGTAGGGTGGGAGATCCTCGAGTCGCAGAAGATCGCAGAAGACTATGAGACAAACTGCAAGGGAGTGGAAAAGCTCCGGAAGTCTCTTTTTTCTTCAGTAGGAAGTGCGAGCGAGGAACAAGTTGAGTGCTTAGGAACCAAGGCAGGAATTCCGGGAAGTCGTTATGCTCAAGAACTTGAATATCGTAGGATCGAAAGATAGCGCAAATCAAGAGATTGGTAGAAGGGGGAGAGAGAGATGTAAGTCGAAGCGGATGGGAAAGGGCGGTAGGAAGAATGAGGAAGGGATCTATAAAGAATCTTGAGGAAGGGGGTGTGTATGAAGAGGAAAGGGTCTGAGATTTCCAAAAGGTTGAGAGAGGATGATGATGAGCAAAAAGGAGTCATTGCATGAGGACGAGGGGAAAGGGGAGTTATTATATTAATCCGCGGGTGTCGACAGTGGATAGCTCCATCTATAGACAGCCGATGTGATCAGGCGCCAAAAGAGACTAAAACGTCAACCGTTCAGAATTTGGGAATTTTGGTTACAGCTGTACAGAAAGGCGCAGGATGCAGATAGCAGCAAACATGTTATGTTAAATCAAATCAGGAATAAAGACAAAGGGAAGTGGGTCGTAAAATTGTAATTATTTTTATTTAATTTTATTTATTTATTATTTAATTTTGGCTCATTTTGATTTTGGGGGGGGGGGGGGAAGAGAGAGTACTCCGCCAGTGTGAGAGAGCGAAAGAGAGAGAGGGTGTGTGTGGAGGGGGACCATTTTAATTGAATTTAGTTTTCCTATTTCTCTCCCACACCTTAAAAAAAAAAGAGTCTCTGTGTAATTCAAACTACACAAAGGGCGGATCGGGGCCATCCGACTGGGGGGATCTGGCCACTCAGCGGACAGAAGAGAACCGTATGTCAAGGTAAACAGAAAACAATAATAATAATAATAATAAAAATACTAGTAATAGAATACTCAAAACTTGACCACTCTCCCCCTCTTCTTGCTCTTCGCTCCAAAAAAAAAAAAAAAAAAAGAAAATCGTTCAAGAAAATCCCAAGGGGGATGGGGGAGGGGCCAAGTGGAAGAAACACCCTGGAGGCAAGGATGGGAGAGAAAAAAAGAGAAACGAAAATAAATAAAAATAAAAAAAGATAGGTGGAGCCAACAGGGAGAATCGACGTGAGGTACGGAAGACTGGGGGGGAAGGAATAGAAAAGGGCCATCGTCATCGACAGTCGGGGGCCAATAACAAGACTTCCGGGAAAGGGATTCTGGGAAAGAACCCGATTGTCCGACGATTCCATTCCTCGATCAATCAGAATCAGATCAGATGGGACAAGGGAGACCAAAGTTTCTAGTTCAACTTTTTTTTTTACGCTTCTCCTAGTACCTCCCTCCCCCCTTTTCCCCTGGACTGATTCGACAGATCCGCTTTTTCACCCCAGATCCTAATCAATTTACAGTACATGTACATGTATCTACTGTTTAGCGTTATGGATGATGGATGGATCAACCGACCCACGGCCCTGAGCCCCGGGCCCCGGGGAACAGCAGGAGGCAAGTCCTTAGTGTTCTTAGTGCCGCTAAAAGGGGGCGCTTGGAGGGGGCCACTAAAACAAGCACGCTAAACGATGTCTGGACTAAGGCAAGGATGATCGCCTGGCTTTTCACTTTTTCCCTCTCCTTTTGGCCTTTTTGGTCCATTTTTCTTTTCCCCGTTGGGATTTTTACTCCCGGAAGTATGGTTTTAGTGTGACTTAGTGAGATGATAGATCTAACTTGCTTGCTGCCCCTCTGCGCCTCCCCGACCACAGTTTCTTGTCAGCCTAGACAAGATCGGGAGCATCGATCGAGCTGATGGGACTTTGGCAAAAAAGAGGAATACGACTAACCATCAACCGTCAACTGTCAATTGCGGGCTAAAGTAATCAATATACATATGAGATATTCCGTCCGAGTACTCACAAAATGAGAAAATGAGAGAGGAGGCTCGCGATCCCACCACCCAACCCCTGTCGCGGAATTATGGGATCTCAGCCGCCTTCTCAAACCAAATCTCAATGGAGACGGGCGATAGTTACATACTACACACAAAGCGAACTCTGTTCCGCGGGCGTAAAGGATCGCCTTCCCCGAGAGCCGTCGCGCTTGGAACAAAGAGGAATGGAGAGTGGAGCCGACCCTTTATCTTGTCGTACCTCTGCCGTCGTCAATCAACCAAAAACAATGGCCTGCCGTGTTTCGTATTGATTCGCTACGATAGAGTCAACAGACTCACCTTCCTGACTGGCTGTGGATAGAGGCCTGCATGCAGAATTATCTACCGTATTCGCCTTGGATAAAGGAGGGAGGCCAATCACGTCACATTGCCACCAATTCAATGCCTGTGTTTTTGAACATGCCTTGACACGGTACATATGTAAACGAGTCGGAACACAGCTGTCTCCCCTCAAAAAGCCGTTAAGGCACTGACAATCATCTATCCAATAGGTAATTTTGGGTCCTCCCAGAAGGTCGGCCACGCAGTAATCATCAACAGTGTTTCCAGAGCCCTGGGTCGGTTAGCGTGCCTGATGCTTCCGCCAGTGGAGATGGATTGTGGATGCACGAAGTACTCCATACATTCTTGGGCATTCCATCTCAGCTACTCCTGTACCCCGAGGCTGCCAACCACCCCCCCCCCCCATGAGGTGGGTGTGTCTGACTCGGGTCTGATAATTGGGGCCTGCCCTGAATCCATCATGACGGTGTACGGATAAAGGGGGCGAAGCTATTGAATGAAGTGGATCCTAACGGGGGAAAGAGACGTAAACTGGGGGGGGAGAGTGGATGATCACCCTGTCATACGGAGTTACGCACACCTCTTGTGACTGGCCGAGTGAGCTGTTCGGGGTAATACGTTGTACAATTACAGAAGGACCCGATTATTTTTTTGGCGCGACAGTCCTTCGAGAAAAGTCCAGCATCAGCTGAGCTTGTCATAAAATTCACCGACACTCCGGGCCTCGCCTACACTAGACCCGCTCGCCGGCCGATCGCCTTTTGACGCCGCCCGCGATTTCTACGGTGAAGGCGAATCTGAAAAATTATAAAAAAAAACCCTGTTTGACCGTTAGACTCTGTTAAACATCGACGAGTACGGAGTACGGATTACAAAGTTGATTGTCGCAATAATTAGGATAATTAGGTTATAACTACTCCATATAGTTCTGGAGTATAGAGCTGGTAGAAGTTCCCAATTCTTCGGCTTTGTCCACTTGAGTCCACACACCACCTCCATGTCTTCCATTGAACCAAATGATCATCATTTGTCGCACCAAGTCGCAAAAACCTTGATGTACGGAGTAGTAGCAGTGGCACATTATTCTGTTTTTCTGCATCAAAAAGTCGGTAAGTGCCGACCCAGCAGCAGGGCCCAATGCAGCGGAAACCCAAGAGGCTGGAAAACTTTCTTACAAAGTGGGACCATCACTGTATCACTGTCTTGTACGGAGTACGAAGTACAGGAACGATACATACACACCCCTTTGGTTTCAGATTTATGTACGGAGTACAACAGAGAGTAAACATGCAGTTCTCTCGGCCACGCGAGCCCAAAGGCGGGGCATCTCAGATTAAAGCCGGTGAAGCCGGTACGGTATATGGGGCTACAATAGGCCGACGTCATTGCACTTGGGCAACAACCAGGTTGCGGTCAGAGCCGCCTGAGACGGGAGCTTTGCGCGTCGTGACCAAGAATTAGATGCGATAGGATGCTGAAGATGAGCGGGATACCATGGAAGTCTTAGTAGGACGCGTGAATGGTTCGATTCCTGCGCGATTCCGGGAGGATCGGCCACGAGTCACAGATGCGGAGGGTCCAAGTTGTCGCATCGAGTCCTGCAGCAAACAACAAGGCTCGAAGGGGCGCTAGAGCTAATGACATGACTTCCCCCATAGTTGTATGGGAGGTTGAAAAGGTAGCCTAAGGTGAGGCCAATCAAGGGCGTACTAGTACGGAGTGTCGGGCAGAGGCTGCGTAATTGACAAATCCTTCTATGCACGCAATGCATAGAAGGCGCCACGCAGTTGTCCTTGCAAAGCGCAACCACATCACCGAGAGAAAGAGTCCGGGATCTTGGTTCTTGACAGCTCCGGAGAGGACCCGGAGATGCTTGATTCGATACATGATCATGTAGCGGTGGCGGCTGGAGGTGACAGCGACAACCCTTCAACCCAAAGCACCTTTGATGCCATGCATCACGCGCCCCGTCTGAATATCGTGTCTACACTGATATCCACTCGGACTGTTCGGAAAGCAAAACAAAAACACAAAAAAAGAAAAAAGGACGGACCAAAGGAAATAAAATCGGGAACCCCTATAAAGAAAAGAAAAGAGAAAGAAACTGACAGGAAAGGGCAAAGGACAAAGACTTGACAGGGGTAAGGTGGCCCAACGGGCAGTTGAGACCAGAATCTTTTCTAGACTATGAATGCATGAAAGCGGACCTATCAGTTTTACTGCTCTGATCTCGAGCGATGTGTGATCGACTTGCGATTGTTGATCGGCGGGGGAGCTTGATTTTACTGCAGCAAAGCAATCCATCTCGAGGTGCGCCAGGGTCCCCGAATACAGAGCCTGGTTA